GACGCAATCGCAGCTTTGCGAGGTTATCTGTAACGTAACATAGAACCATAGAAAAGTATAGCAAGTTTAATTACGGTATTGTCTTTAATAATATCTGCATCCCGGTATCGATAATAATATTATCCGTTCGCTTAATATTGTGACGGTAAATTTACAAACGTTGATAAGTAAATATCAAAGCCAACGCAAATGAAAATGATAGAATAATATTAATTTGGGTTTTGAAATCAAACCTTAATGGTTTTAACAGCTGTTGCCAATGTGAAACGAACGGGTAAACCCGGAATATAAACTTCGATGTCCACCGACCCGAAAGATTTGATAATACTTGCAAAAAACAGAAAGGGCGTGGATATAGATTATATATCGCCGCAAAAACGGTCGCGGTGACAAAAACAATCTGCGATTATGACGATGGATAACCCAGTAAAAGAACGCTTTGTAGCCGATTTTCAATGCCAAAGGGGGTATCGACCGACGTCCTGGACCTCCTGTTGTGTATAAAAATATTCGTTATTCGACTATTCGGTATTCGTTAAAAATATTCGAATTATTCGATTCGAAAAAATATTCGATTTTGCCCACCCCTACACAGGATATATAATTCCTATTTTGTGTTAGTATAGGAAGATTGAATGATGTCATAGCCAAATTTTACAAAAAAATCTAGCCTCGCTGAAAACAAACAACATCAGGTATGAATAACAGAGTAGAGATGGAAGTAAGTTCAATTACATGAAAGAATATGGAATTAGGGAAAGAACAATATTAAAAAAGAAAACTACTAAGTGCAGATCACATCACCACATGTCAACTTTTGAGCAAGTGATTGTTAAAGTAGAAATATATATATGTAGGCTACTTTCGATGGGAATTTTTCGCGAAATCGTTGTGAAGATTTCTCAGAGGTGGTCAAGCGTGAACGGTTGCTCCTCCAGAACCACTTCTACGCATCCGGAACTTTGATATCTATTACTTCAACTATATTCGTAATTGCGGGACAATTGTAGCTGCAGCTGAAAAACAACTTTGACCACAACTTCGTGGTGAGATACCTGAACTGTTAAACCGAGAACGTAATTCTAGGTTTGCCCATTTATGCTTTTCTACTCCCAGTGGATGGAAATATCCAACCCAAACTAGTAACTTCTTAAAAAATTAATTAGAAATAAGAAAGACCAACAGGAGAACGACGACAGGAAAGCTCAGTAATAAAATGTGGCTATATTAAAAGACAGAGCAATTGTAGAGAAGAGACAGATAGAACAAGAATAATATTTGAAGGAAAATGTGCTTTCATTAAAGATGATTAAAATAACTATCAAACGTGTAACAAACGTTCAGATTTTTACTTGTTGCCAAATACCCATCATTGTTTTTTAGGTTACGGTAATAAATGAGTGCTTCGTGAACAAGAACTTGCTTTATATAATTATGTATGTGTTGTTCACCAGATTCTAAAAGCCGCAGAATTTCTGATCCAGGTTCAAAACAGTCTGATTTGTACACCAATTTTTTGGGGGGACAAGGCTGTGTTCTCATTGCACTCGGCCATGCGGTAATTTTCATTTCACAAAACTTGGATTGCAAATATTTATCAAAATTTATTAAAAATATTGCCTCATTGACCTCCATCTTGATTTTCGAATTAATTGAAGCTAATAGTCTATTGAAACTATTTAAAAATAAAGAGTGCCGAAATCCAGAGTGCAGGTGTTTTGATTCTGCGAATGAACGGTTCATCATTTTTTTTAAACTTGTACATATTGACTCTAATGTAGAATTTTCTATAGACTGCCAAATTTCATCAATCTCATATTTGGGAATGATTTCTTTTCTTTCATCTTTACTACCAACTTTATATTTTGGTGAACTTGCCAAAAAAGGGGTTCCTAAATTGCGTTTTCGTTTGACAATTTTCATTTGAACAGGTGTATGGGAATGTGTTTGTTCCTTGGTACTATATGAAACCCTGGCGTAAAATAAAAGAACACAGTTGTCTTCAATTAATTTGCCGCACTTATCTCGCGCAATGATATCAATTTTAGAATCATCAAATAACATAGCAGAAGATTTTGAAGTGAACGTGTAGGTCACAAAATGACCACTATCGAATCTAGGACCTAGATGAACAACGCAACTAGTTAATTCATATTTATAGGTGATATCCAATGAACTATCGTACAGGGTAATATGTTCATTCACAACAATAGGTTGCATTGATTTACTTGACCCTGTATTTCTAATAATATTGAAAGTCAGCAGTAGTGGAGTAAATACAAGATCGCTCTGATACTGTATTGTGCTACTGCATGTTTTGCATGTATGGTTATCGGGTTTTATTTGATTATTGACGCTCTCTTGCAGAGAAATTGTACTTCCCTGCTGAACTGAAATTTTGAAAAAAAATGTGTCATTGACAGATTTCTCAGAATGGTCACAAACTCCACACCTAGAAGCTGATGAATAAATACAGTTTGTTGTTATTCCAAACATTTCCAAAATACCTCGCTGTATGAGTAAAATAGCAAACTCCGCTGCATCTTGATGTTCTCCTAATTTCAACTGAAATTCTGTGCACACAATATCTAAGGCCAAATACAGGAAATCTTTTTCCAATTTTTCACGTCCAATTAAAATTTCCAAAATACCACAGATATGTTTTTCGAACCAGTTCTTGCTAGAATTTCCTTCAACGTCTAAATTTAGTTTGCCTACAATTGATGCGAATGCCTGCAGCACGGAGTTAAACCAACAATTGTTCCAATTATTTACCATTTCAGTGTATTCATTCTGATTCGAAATACCAGGTGATGTTAGTGATATATTGCAATTTTCACTGCCAACAGTATTAAGCAATCGGTATGTTAGCCAATGCCTATATTGATACACTACTGTCGAATCAAAAGTGGGTGGAATTTGAAATGAGCACAATATATCAGCAGCAATACAAGCACATACTCCACAGCTACTGCTATCTTTTTGACGAATCATACATTTTTCAGTGCATTCGAGTTTTTCGTCATTACAAACATTTTTTTCTAAAAATGGTATAAAAGCAGTGGTCGGGAACCCATGGCTCGCGAGCCATATATGGCTCTTTTGGTGACGGCATATGGCTCCCAAAAAAATCTAATATCCCAAGACTAAGCTTACTATTGTTACGAGATTTCAAACTCATTTATAGCCAAATTTGGCAGAAAATTCCCAATACGTTTGAGAACACGCGTCCAGCACATGTCTATGTTATGTAAGATAATTACCAGGCAGGCATTGCACAAACAAGGAGATTTTGGAACATATATTGTGACATCACAAAGCGATAGAGTTTTAAAAACAATACGGAGATGCCTAAACGAAAAAGGGTGATGAGTATCGTAGATTTCAACTTGGGCTGCATGTGAGCAACCGTTCAAGGCCCGCAGCCACTACCTGCAGCATCAGATAATCACATTAAATGTATATTGACATTGTATGTGTTGACTTTTGAGTAAACATTTCAGGCCTGATTAAGTGAAGAAATGTTATATGGCTCGCACGGAAATGCAAATTGAAAATATGTATACTTTATGGCTCTCTTGACCAAAAAGGTTCCCGACCCCTGGTATAAAGCGATTATGTATACATTTTTTCAAATCCTTGTTCACGACACCCAAAGAATCAATGATAGTGAGACGCTTTTGCTTCAGTTCCAAAATAGCAAGAACGAAATGAGTACCCCAGCGCAAAGGAAAAAGTATAATCTCAATTGAATTCATATTCCCAATAGAATTTATAGATTTTTGGGGATTTTTAAACTGCTGACCATTGAGAACTTGTCTTACAAAAATAGTGTCTGTGCATCCGATCAATGTACTTCCAAACAAATTGTTGTGGTAGGCTACAGTGCAGGAAATATAAGCACTAACAACATTTTCAGTTAACTGTCCAGGCTCATAATTCAAATGCACTGCCTGTTTTTTGAGAGCTGATATTATAATTTCGTTATTAGGTGGGCAAGTTGAACATATATCGGTCCAAGAAAGTGGTCCAAATTTTGTGCTAAAAGCTAATCGGTCCAAGAAAGTGGTCCAAATTTTGTGCTAAAAGCTAACTCTGACATGATATCCAAATTTATTATTTTTTTCCACACATTATCGGAGAATGTTATGACGTTTTTCATATTGGAACAACTTAAATTCCAGACGTATTCATCAGTTTTATAAGTAATTTCGTGACTTTGGTTTGAAACAGTAATTCCGCCAACATCACAGGACACTATTTTGGTAAAGTTCTTTAAATTATAGGGTCGACTTGAAAAGTTGTCTAATTGGATTTCTTTTTCGGTTTCTGGCTTATCTTTCAATTCATTCGATATATACTTGTCTGAGGAACTATAGCGTTTGAAAATTTTTGCCAGAAGATTATCATTATAGGCTCCCTTTCCACGACGTTTAACTCGCTTTTTATATTTTGATTCAACCATTGGACTTGTAGTTTTTGAAATTTGTTTTCGTTTTCTATGATTAAAACCCATGTGTTTTACCAAATCTTCAAACTGTTTTTCGATTATTTTTAACTGGTCAACATATCTATGAACAAAATCATCAAGGCCAGAAGCTCTAGAGTTATTGAAAAACGTTTTTTTCATGTAACCGAAATGTTGTTCAATAGGGCCTTGTGTTCGGTTGTCCAAAGTAATGTTTTGCACATGCCGCTTCTTCAGCTCTGTGTAAGATTTTGAAAATTCAATAAAATTAGCATTTTGAGTATCAGTGGAGGAATTTTTCTTATGTCGGGAAAGGTCACCAATCATGAGAGCAGAGGTAGCTGGAACTCGGCTCAAAACATATTTAATGACAACTTGGCAAAAATTTTCGTTATAAAAAGGATTTATTTTTACTGATATCGTCACAATTTTTATGAGTCAGATACGTTGATGAAGAATGAAAAGCATTCAACATGGCAAAATATCTGACATAAAACGGTGATCGTTCCTCTTGTTTCATGTCAACATCTTTTGTTGCAATAAAAAATTCATCACAAGATTCAGTAGCCAACATTGTCTAAAATTCCATTGTGTTCAATAGTGCATTTTCCCCCAACAAGCAAATTTGAAAGCGCATTTCTAACATATTCGGTGTTTCTACGGAGATTGGTTACAACATAAAAATTTTCAACTAACATATCCAGCTCACCCAGTGTTTTACAATTGAAAAATTTTGACATCCAGGCCATTGCAATTGTGACGTTGACAGGGAAGTGCTTTAAACACATTATTTGTGCAGCGCGCATGGCGTGGCTATAGCAATTCTGAATAATAGGCAGTTTGAAATCATGTAGAATTGGATTGCCAGACACAATACGAAAGCATCTGTTATAATAATCTACTCTCGTCTCTCCACAATATGACTTTAAAACAGCATTCCACATCGCCATAGAGCCATCTATCATTATTTGGCGGGGTTTTTTACACTGACCTAATTCAGAGACTTGGAGAGCTTGTACTTGATCAAGGAAAGAACTAATATCTATAGCTCTATGGCGTGATGTTACATAGGTAGCAACTGGCAGGGAAATGTTGCCTCGGTACGGATTCCTAATTAGAAGTGTATAAATTTGAAAGTCTCTGCCTTCGCTATCACGCTTGATGATGCTACCAGTTGCATCAAAATAAACAATGTCTTCCTGTGATCGCATTGTATAATACTTCAATTGAGTTCTACTGACAATTGTTACACTGGGTGGCTCTGTTCCAATAAACCTGATATATTTATTTTTACCCTCATTTTCCATCATTTTTTTCAAATTAATTGATGAATACCTTGTTGCTCTAAAATCTTTTTTTTCGCTTTTAATTTTTCGCAAAACGTCAGCTGAAGGGGCATTTGTGTGGGAACCGTAATCTCTTTCTTCCCGCGATAGTTTATTATAGGACTCATTGAATTGGACAGAAGGTGGGATGAAACGCATTTTATCCCTAAAGTTTTTTCTAGCATCTCCGCGGATATAAAGGCTGCGTTTGCAGCCAACAAGATGTTTTCGCTGCCCAAAAATTTTGATAGACGCTTCAATCCCGCGTAATGTTTCATGAAAATCAACTAAATAATTAACGAAGCATTCGCAACACGCGTGATGAGCGCACTGAAATTTTATATATCCCAAATGTAATGGAGCAACTTCTATTGGTTTGCTACTGATTTCGGTGCTATATAGGTAATGGTAACGAGCTGAAGGGACGCAGCTTTTATAAATGCTTTGAAATTTATCAAGGATGAAAGCCCGCATTTGAAAACACCCTTTAGAACTGAAGCGATGCTCCGTTCGTTCATTCACGGCTTGATGCCAAATTTCTGAAGGAATACGAAAAACACTGTGCAAGTTTACATCTGAATACGTGCTAAAAGGACTTGCTGGTTTTCCAGGTATAAGTTCGGATTGAGAATGTATTTTCGGTTTCTCAATACAAGTACTTGAAAAATCACAATTTAGTGAACTTGATGAACTATTTGTTTGAACATTTTCAAAACAAACATTGTTGGGCAAAATTTCAAAATCAATGATTTTTTCAGAAGTACCTACTGAAGGGATTTTATTCTGCATTTCACAAACTTCTGTCTGTGTGTTTTTATTTTGAAAAGATTGGGAAATATTTGAAATTCTATCTCCAGTTTTAGTTATCCATTTTCCCTCAGTAATATAACCACGCGAGTTTTTATCATGGAATGCAACCTTTGTTTCTGCGCAAACAAGTAATATATCACGCCAGTCTTTTTCGCCTACATATTCCAAATAATTTTTTTGAATGACACATTCAGGATGAAACCACTCGTTACATTTTTCACACTCAACCATCATATCATCGCCTGTCCATTCTTTCAAGCATTCGCAAAATTTTTGGCCTCTATATTCAGACACATTATATGACTCTGTTTTATCTAATAATGATATATCACTGTGGGCCTGTTCATCTTGATTAGCAAAGCAAAGATCAGTAGCGGGCTTTTTAGTCACGAGATTTTGAATTTTTCTTATCTCCTTAATAATGTTTTTTTTACTACGAGCCATATGCAAATGCTCAAGTTTTTCTAATACTATCCCCCGCTGTACAGGGCACTCGTGCTTTCTTTCGGAAAAGCGCAGTAATTCATCGTGAATACAAGATTGATTTTTGTCCAAGAAATTTGATAAGCAGGATAGTCTATCGTTTAGCTGAAGTTTACACCAAAATGTGGCAGAAGTTAAAAAATTAGTTTGATCAGAAATGACATTCAAATCATTTAATCTATGTAGAATCAGATATCGAGCTATTGCTTTGGAAATTTTTAAAATGAACTTTGAATTGCCCGTTTTTTTTTCCAACGTCTGGTTTTCCTCACAACTGGGAACATATAAAGAACACTTAGCTTTATTTTTCATTGATGCGTCTCCAGTTTTCTCTTTACAGTTCATAAGTTCTGTAGACTTCTCTGTTTAAATAAGATATATGTTTGATTGACTTGTTCAATATTCTCCATGTGATATATATACACAAAAAACAATCATATAAATTATCAATCTATTAAAAATTTTATTGTTGCCGAACCCCAGTGCACAGAGCAAATATAATCTAGCTAGCGCAGTGTTTCCCAACCCGAGTCCGCGGTTTCAAATGAGTCCGCGGAGCGTTTGAATGAGTCCGCAACGAGCCGAAAATTCACTGCGGGTCGCAAACGTTTTTGCGAAACTTAACCATCAGCCACGATTTACGTCAGAATTTACATAAAACCTAAAAAGCAAGTTTATTCATATAACATTAATCGAGTCAATAATTTCTGGATTCTGTTGTTCGAGGAATAATTTTTCTGGTAGGTATCAATGGTGGCAACCTAAATTTTCTAAATTGAAAAGCGGCAATACAAAATACTGAAAATAAAACTGAAAACACCATAAGTTTTTTAAAAACGCTTTTTTAGACATGTTGCAAATTGCAAAATTTCGGGTGCTAATGTAGTATTTGTATCGGGGCATTTCTCTCGGAATTCTTTGCTTTACTGCAGGGTCTGCACTCTGCATCCTACGGCCAGCGGAGCAATATAATCAGGCCCGCGACGTTTCTCTGAATTGTGGTGACAAAACAGCTGTTCCTTGCGATTATATTCTTTACGTGACAGAATTTATTTTGTGGCACTTTTATACTAAATTATATCATAACCTAACAAGTATATATATAATTCACAATTACACGTTGAATGAGCCTATAATTCAATTATAATTAGACATTCAATGGCAACAAAACGCAGAAAAGTTGAACGCTAAGTGCAATTGATTCAATCTTCAAATGGTCAGTCTTCGGGCGCTGCTTAAAATTTAATTTCTGATCTGTATGAAAAAATGTGATTCATTGGCCATACGCCCGGCTTTAAACTTTCTAAAAATATACGCGGCCCACTCATGACTTGCAACCTTTAATTTTGGCCTGTGAGCGACAAAATGTTGCCGACTCCTGGCTTTACTGTTGTACGAACAGCCCATATTTGTCGAATTCACAAAAATACGAATCGCAGAGTAAAATGATCACAATAAAGTTAATATTAAATCAGGGCGATGAATATTCTTTATTTTTATTCAATAATATACTAATTATATTTTTAATAAGTATTAAATCAAGTTGTACTTTCTAGAAATTTATAGCAGATAGTAGGATTTTTCTAACGGCGATAACAAACTCGCAAGTTCGCAAATAATTTAAATCAAAACTAAATATAACCGGGCAATATATTCTCACATTATTATGTTCGCAGATTGCCGTGGCATTTAAAAGAAGTAATGCTTTCATCTTGTCATAAGTCAACCCAACCGCAAGTGACCATGAACACTATTAAATTAAAATAGTTAAACATTTTAAATTCTTGTCGTTGTCAAGGATTGAATATTGTACGACAGAAAAGACCATTTATACACTAAAGGAGTCGGCCCTTTTAATGAAGGCGTAATTGCGTAGCATTTCCGATTTTGAAATTCGGAAAAACTCTATTGTGTTTGGTTTTATTACTTCTTCACACAGAGTACGGTTGCAAAAAACTCACGTTGAGTCAGCAAAGTTTTTCGCCAGTGAGAACATAGTCCGCGACCAAAAAAGGTTGGGAAACGCTGAGCTAGCGGGTGTCTATCGTGAACAATATGAACTTCTCTCAACTGCATCTCTGAAAAATACTATTTTTAGGGACCTTTAAATGATATTTGTCTTTTCAGAAAAGTCTTGTGATTCGGTCATGGTGTGTTAGCGGAATAAAATATTTTCGTATAGCATTTCAAGGTTAGAATGTACAAGCGAGCGGATTTAAGAGTTTTGAGGCCCTACAAAGCACTTCAAGGTAGATTATTACTATGAAAAACAAACGTCAAAATTATTTTACCTGTTGCACTTCTGGTCTTTTGATGATGACTTTTTCCTCCACCAGATATATTCCGCCAAGAAACAAAACATTCTGAAAATATGAACAGGTGAGCTAGGGACATTGAAAGACGTATGTGCACCAAGATGGGGCACAAGCCGCACAACCTGAACATAGTATGTGTGTATCGGTTAGGATTCAGGTTGTGCGACATCTTGGTGCACATACTTTCCAAGAGAGCACAACAGAGTGAGAGCAGTGGCTTCCAACCGCCGGTCCACGAACCGCTGTCGGTCCGCGAAGCTTTTTGCCGGTGCGCCAGAAATTTCATTTTGTTGCCATCTCAATCGCTTTATCGAAGCCGAAAAGACAATGTTAAGTTGGTTTATTACGCAATTACTCCTCCACCGTCATATTACTTTTTGATAAGTGGAGTTTAGTCGACCGGCGACGTCTTGGAGCCGAGTAATCACACTTCTTGCTGATTCGGTTCCGTTTCATCGCGAAAGCGCTCCGTCAAATCTCGCAAGTTTCAGAAATCTGGAAATCTAAACCAGAAAACCTAAACCAGTAAATCTAAACCAGAAAACAGTCAAGAACAGTATTATATTCAAGAGCTTCGTCTTGACATCCACCGTGATATGAACTTGTTGCGACCCTGCAGGCGGCCACAAGACGCACAACAAAAGCATGCGTCGTTGAGATCTTCTCCAGGTGATGCACAGCAGCATTCAGACCTCGGTGCCAATTTAGCAACGCCAAGCATCGCGAAGTAATCGAGCAATCAAACTGTTATCCGAATATTCACTTACTTGTACGAAAAAACTTTTGCATCACTAGCTTTAATTAGTGGAAGTCATTAATATAGAAAAAAAAAATAATTCGCCAAGCTGATTATAGCTGGAGTCAAATGCCAAGCCAGACCTGATATATTAATGCATATATCAGAGCTTGTCGTTTACTTTCCTTGTCAAACAAGCATAAATTCGTTGTATATTTTTAATCTTTTACAAATCCAAATGCGTTTCACAATCTCGGCCCCCCATAGCGACGCAAAAACACATTGCTACACTACGACTAGTTGCGAAAAAGCTTAGATCATGGTTGAAATCAAACATTTTGAGTATTACCATTGATTTAATTTCGGTGCGGACGATTATGAAATACTTTAGAATTGCATGAACAACCGCTCATTTGAAAAATAATTATTTATTTAAGGTCTTATTAACATTTTGAGTATTATTGGTCATCAATTTTGGGAGAAAATTCAAGCTAATTTATGAGAAGACATACTTAAAAACAATTTTACAAAGATCAAGAAATTTTCACTTTCAAATTATTATAGCTGCTTCAAGTTTTTCAGTGAAATTTCAGTCAAACAAGATAATAAGATATTCTATAAAATTTTCGATGAATTTTAGGAGGGAAATTTCATTTTTGCCGGTAGAATCGCCATTATTGTCATTCGTGTAATCAGCATTTCAACCCAGAATAGTATTTGGATTCGTGCAATGGCGATGGAATATTTTATCCAATGCAAAAATAACACAGACGCGTTAGAAATATAAAGTATAATTAACTATCGGCTTCATAAAAATATAGTTACGTATTGAGTTTAAGTAGGGCCAAGTCTGGGTAGATAATGATATGTAACGATAAAAATAGAAAATGAATTCGTGATTAGATGTTATTACCTAATAACTAACTACGAAATCGCGTTCACGGAAACCTTGCTTTGCAAGTCTTGCTCGCACAGAATAAAATGTTAAATTTAAATTGATAATGGTTAAATTTAATATTTTACACCGGCCGCATAGGTTGCAGTGGCCACACGCTGGTCCTGCATACAGGGATGGACAATTCAAATAAAGTATTCGAATATCTCGTCATTCGAATATCGGAATTAGCGTTTATAAGAATATCGGATATTCGTGTGACGTCACACATTTTCGACGCCACTTTCAAGACGTTTCCGTTGAATGAAAACATTCTCGATAGAAACTTGCGCGCGATTGCTTTATCAGCGGAGATATTATTTAGGCCGTAAACACCTTTACGTTTGTGTTATTTTCTCTAAAACGCAAATTTTCCACAAATTTTTCCACGATAACGATGACAATTATTTTATTTTTGTACTCGCACGAAATATCGGCAGCGAGTTTCTAACGAAAACGCAAATTTTTTGATTGAAAAGCGGCAATTTAAAATACTGAAAATAAAACTGTAAACAAAATATGTTTTATTGAAGCCCGCGACAGTTTGAAAACGCTTTTCTAGGCAGTGAAAATCGCAAAATTTACACATTACGTTTGGTCCGCGAAACATATCGTCACTAAATGAGAGCGTGATTTGCCTGATTATCCATTACTTTAATTAAATTGCCGTCGAAAATATTTGTGCTAATGATTTGGTTTCTGCGAGACTAACTACTTATCCTTCTTCTATTCTTTTGTGTCGGCGGATTCGTAGGCATATAATGTAAGGATGCTGTAGCAAGAGTAAAGATAACTATCCTAAGTGATTCAAGAGTCTTGCTGCACACTAACACAAATATATTTCTGTAACGTTTCGTCTGACCAAGGTCTGAAGAAGTCTGACGAAACGTTACAGAAAATATATTTGTGTTAGTGTGCAGCAGGACTCTTGAATTGCATATTAATCCAGCAATGTGGAATATTTCCACTATTTGAAAAAGAAGGAAATAAAATAGGATTCGGTATTCTGGATTTGATTTAACCATTCTAGAATAGTGAATTATTCTAAATTTGCTATCCATAGTCACGGCGCATAGGTAATAAAGGAACAACCTATGAAGAGGCTCTCAAAATGTAAACATGTATTTAAACACCCCTGTAGACTACCGAAGCAGCGCGATTTTGCAATTCGCGGCGACGTCAAACGCCCTGGAGTTTAAAAGTAAAATCGCGCTTACTTAATTAACCTTGTACAACCAAACATCGTTGAATTACTGTCTTCCAAACGTCTTTCAGAGTATAAATTATGGATGATGGTTAACATAAAAGCGGCAAATCACTACTAAGCATGGGCGATTTCGAATCAAATACTCAATAGCTTTATACAATCGAGCCCACAGCAAGCAGCACAAATAAATTTGAAACAATTTGATGGATATAACATTTGTTAAAATAGGCAAAAAAGTTCTAAATTTGCGGTATTCTCACCTTGTTCATCCCCGGTAGACACATTGTGGTCCGCTACATTCGCTGGCATGCGTCCCAACTTCATTGTCATGAGCTTCGTAGTCCATTACTTCTTTCTTGACAGTAAATTGAGTTCCCTTGAGAACAAAGTTTGTTCAGCTTTGAAAAAAGCTGCCGGTTGAATTAGCCTTTAAAAAGGCTGTGGGTATTAGCAGATTCAAAACTAGATATAGATGATTTGTATGAACGAGCTTTTTAAACGGTTATGCACATCTGACTCCTCGGCGCCAAATTTAAAAAGACTTTGCTATTTTCAAATGAACAGTGCGCTTGATACTCCCTTTTTCTCTAAATTACAAAATCATAAATTTGAACCACGCCGTTTATTGTGACGTATGGCTCATACTAGTTACAGCGAATCGGCCGTGAAAAAGTGATCACATTCGAATACCTGGCACATTTTTGAACGAATATATTTAAAGGATTATTTGCCGTAGCAGTTGTAGTGTGGTGTAACAACAAATTGTTGAGATTTTCGCATTATCTCCCAATTATTACTTATCGATCTTAAGATCGGTAAGTAAGTTGATAGGTATTTGTCTTTCTGTTAGAAGATGCACGCGATATCTCACGAAAGCGAGGTTGAATCTGCTCCAAATTTTGCATGTGCATTCATTCATTGCCTATTGATTTTGGATAGATTAATCACACAAATGGCTGATTGGTATCAATATCCATAATACTGTTATCTACGACTATGAAGTACGCACAATTTCCATCTAGGCATGTGATCGCAACACACTTCTTCTATCTACAACACACTTCTTTTACAAATCATGTTTTTATCTTCATCCAAAGAGTTGCGATTTACAAAATTTTAGCAGAAGATGAATTATGGTTATCTGATGAGGAAAAAATGAGGTCACAGAATCATAGCGCATTTCAAGTCCATATCCTCAGTTTGAAATAATTTTGCCATAATAATTTGGGTCTAGAAATTCGTGCACACGTCCTTATTAGTGATAGTGTTATGTTCGATGTACTTTTTGGTTTAGCTTTGTCCGCACCTTTTGGTTTTATTTTTGAACATAATGATGCAGACAATAAAGTATCTCACAATGTAACCAGAAATTGTTTATTTACAAAAAAATATCACATGACGTAACAGAAATTGTTTATTTACAGAAAACGTGAAGAATTATAACGAGGTTACTAAAATGACTGTCTTTACAGCAGAGGCTAACTTGCTTGCCTCGATAAAAATTTGGGCATCGGCTCGAATATCCAGGGTTGCAATATGTATTTTCAATGTCTCAGCAACCTCTTTGAGAACCACTTTACCCCTTTCTTTTGTGACTTCCCTTGAAAAGTCTAGCTTCGCAACAGCTTTGATAAGGTATCTGATAAAGGGATAAATTATCGTAGGTTACAGGCAACTGGCAATGTTAAGGCATTCATGCGCATTTTGTAGTAAACATATAACTTCTGCATGCCGACAAAAAAGTCTATTATTTAAAAGTGTCCTATTGCCTGATGCGTGATTCTGTTGAATTTTAAGAACTTACCTGAACTTTAATAGTGTATCGTGATGTAGGTCGCACGACAGCTGACGGATTAACGATAAAATAACTGACTGCTGTAGATATGGCGATGGGTTGCAGAATATTTTTGACGGATCTACCAATTTGCAAACATGAATCAACAATTCAAGTTTTTTTTTCGAAAGTGCCTGCATAGGAAAAAAAAATAAAGCATCTCACTAACGTTAATTCCATTTTATAGCGTTTTTTACCTTATGGGTAATTCATTGTTAAATTAATCAAGATGGCGACTTTTTGCATTACGCCACGTGAAAGTTGGGTAATTATTGAACTGTTTCTTCAAGAGTCTTTTAACATTTAAAATTCTAGTAAATATGACACTGCTGAAAATGCACTCGCCCAACTTCTAATACATCAATCTTACCATGCGAAATGCAGCATCATAATTTTTCTTTAGTACATGGTCTGATATCTCAAAGTATACTTGGAAAAGGCTCGACATCTCCGCATAAATCCGATCTTCAAAACTAAACGTTGCGTATAAAAAGAATAATAAATGATACACATAGTGCAAATATCATTTAAACGTTTCTGCACTAAATATTATGACATATTGTGGAGTTTCCCAATTTGACTGTAAAGCGGAGTGGGATTTTAGAAATTTTAGATTTTAAAAATAGGGGGGTGTTTAATAGTGCACTTGGACATAATAAAATAATATCTTGAATGAATTACCGTATTTCCCGTAGAATAACTCGCTTTTCTAGACCTAAATTTTTGACCTGATTGGGGGGGGGGGGGGGGGCGTCTTATTGGGCAGGTATATTAATTTTCGTTTTTTGGGGGTCGGCTTATTATTCAATTCCGACCATAAAATACCTTGGGTCAAAGCATCCCCAAAACGTTCCGATCAAGTCAGATTAAATAAATCGGCGATCTCGCGCTGTGAATCTGGAATTTCTACGCTGTGATTATCATATTTGAAGTTGCCGCATTTGTGGCTGTGAATCACGAGTGAAGGGCTATTACCGATACACGTGGCATTGCAATTTGCGAAAATCGTTAATTGTTTTTGTCAGCATGATGTATATTTAAGCCGTAAACATCTTTCATGTCAGCATTTATTCTCCCTAAATCACAAATTTCTCTCAACGTACGTTTTTGGCACCGCATGATTGCCACCAAGTATATTCACTCGGAGATAAATAAAGTACAACCAACGTTTTGCTAAACACCGGTTGTGCCTTATTTATCTTCGATATGTTTTGGACGACGATAATTACTTTATTGCTCTCAAACAACCATGGCACTTGTGAGATACGAGTCATTACATCATCATGTGTGACAAGATACTAAGATAAATAACGGAGTGAAAACGTGACCCAAATTCTCTTGATTGAAAAGCCGCAATATATAATTTGGAAAACGCCATTTATTTTAGGATGGCCCGTGAGAGATCATAAATGATTTTTAGACATTGCAAACATTTTGTGTTCTACAACTACTGACCATGAAATTTGTACGACTATAATATATATATATATATATATATATCTAATACGGTAGTTAAGTAGACATACCGTGCTAAAAAAGCGACAGTTATGTAGACGGAAAAATTGGGTAGACATTTTCCTGTCCGCTTAATCATTCCACGTTCCACAATTAAAACGTTTTGCGATATTTTGCTGAAATCTCTTTTTCTCTGATAAAACAGTATCAAAATTAATATGTTCTTTCAATATTTTTTAAATAATTGCACATTTTCGCCAACTTTAATGGGACAGTAGTTCTGCTGGTTTATAATCAACGGGTTTAATTTTCGTACATAAAGTGGACATTTTATTTATGCAAAAATCTTTTAATTTTTCGGTATATGTTTTTACGATTTTTGGAGAGTAGGTTTGATAATTTTGATACAATAACCAGGCAGAACATGAAGATCGTCCGTTCTGTTTTTTGCAATATAAGCTCAATAAACTGAAAAGGACCTCAATTCACAACTCCGTACTAAAGAGGCTTTGTGTCGCAATAGTAAAACTGTCGGGTTCGCCGAGAACTTTACCACGTTTGCCGTTTTGTTCGCAAGTAACCTGGGCGCCGTGAGGGGATTGGGATCTTCATGAGTGCGTGATTGCCGAAATTTAGATAAAATAGAACAGTTGTGTTTGGAGAAGCGATCCAAGTCTTTTGTGTCAGGTGTTATCAGTTACCCAGTGAGTTGAAGTCGAGTCATAATAAGCAAGGATTTCAACGTCACCGAGGAATGCTGCTGGAAATCATCACTCATCGGATAAGGTGATTAGTCATAACGATTTTTAATATTAGGGTTACTATATTTTTGGTGTTGAGATTTTTCACGTAATCCAGATTATCAAAATATAGACTACTGATACTGTTATGCTTTTACTGGTCGTAGTTCTGATCTGACCATCAAAATAATGCTACGACTGGGTTTGCGTTTGTAAGAGTGTGTAATTCAGAAGGATTTCTAAATCCAGATGAAAATACAAACGAAGATTGTGAAAATTCAATGAATTCAATTTTTTGTCGAAACAGAAGGATATACGAGAAACGAGTGGTTGACGTTTGTATAGCTTGGTGTAAATAAAAATATCTAATACACCGCTTCATATTAGATTAGAATATTTCATCTTCGGAAAACAGTTTTGAAGAATTGCATTGCTAGCAATTTTGTTTTGTGATTTGGCACATGTCCCTGTGTTATTTTACCATATTCATCTAGTTATTCACCGGGCTGTTTTTTTGTTCACATGTAGGTGACTCTCCAACGAGATGGCCTACATTTCAGAACTTGGCAGACGGAAATGCGGGTAGTGATTCGGAGAAAGCTGTGCCAGGAGGTGACTAAATGAGTTTGCTATGCTTGTTTTTTTATTAAATACAGTATCGTAAATTGATACCAATGAATGGTAATAAACCAAATCATAATATCATTTGTAGCCCATCACAAATAGCGCAGCTATCTACGAATAATTGTAGTGCACCGTTTAGAAACTCTGGTTTATTTGAGTAATATTGCAATTATCCATTTCAAACATTTCGTTTGTTCGATCAATCAAGAGTAGCGTAATTCTGAATTGGACTAAAACACTGTGATGATGTTTTGTGACTTATGCATGTATTTTTGACCAAAGTTTCAGATAAGTCAACAGACTATACCGCACCATCTTCAGAATCACTTTCAATAAGCAATTTAAGTGATTTCAAAGAAAACCATATATATGGAAAAGAAAAAGGCTGTAAATCAATTAAAAAAAGCTTCTAAACAAACGCGAACCAGAAAAGAAACGACGAAAAGAAAAATAATTGCACGGATTGGTATATCTTGCGAGAAGTTTATTGTAAAGCTTTAAGACATCTCTGTATAATTCATAAAGATGAACCGGCAGTGAGCATAATCTTGTCTCTCCTCAACAACTTAACCTAGTGAGCATATCCACATTCGTATACATACTTGGCATACATTTTTACTATTTAATTATAAATTCAAAATAACAATCATGTTTTTGTTTTCCGAGTTGGTGCAAAAATTTTAAATAAATTGTGCAAAGATTCTAAATTGATATTGAGGTTCAATAATTTCATTTTGATCGCTTGTATAGTTGACTGTATAATCAATCACTGCTATAATTAGGCGCCCTGATAGGTAGACATTTGAGTTATATTTGGTGTAATGTTTCTCATTTTAGTTGACATGGCAAAATTTCGTTTCGCATTTATAGGCCCCACTGAAAACGTCACTTTATTGAACATTTGAGATATGTTGTGTGTAATGTTTCTCGATACTTTTTTCAGAATTTCGTGTTTTAATTATATACCTTCTGAAATGGTCGAATGGTTGAAATTTTTTTTGAATGCTTCTCAATATTATTGCCATTCCAAAATATCATTTTGCATTTACATGACACACTTACGTAGCTGAGTAGATGACGATTTGCGATTAATTTTCTGTTTTGTTTTTCAATACGGTTTCAAAATTTTGTTTTATAATATTTGTCACTCTCAAGTTATCGGATAGGTGAACATTAGAGATAAATTTTGAGCAATTTTCCACAACATCGAAATATGATTAGTATTCGAAATTTCGTATTTCAGTTAAATTTCACACACTTAAGTGTGTGAGATCTATTTTGTTTAGGATTTCTCAATACGATTCCAGAATTTTGTTTCAATAGTTGTATGCCACACTTAGGTGGTCAGATATGCGGACATTTGAGATATATATTTTGTGTAATGTTTCTCAATATTATTTCAGAATTTTCATTTCAATTTTTGTATACCCCACTTAGGTGGTCGGATAGGTGGACATTTGAGATATACTTTGTGTAATGTTTCTCAATATGATTTCCGAGTTTCCATTGCGATTGTTTTATGCCACACTTAAGTGGTCGGATAGGTGGACATTTGAGATATACTTTGTGTAATGTTTCTCAATATGATTTCAGAATTTTCATTTCAATTCTTGTATGCCACACTTAGGTGGCCGGATAGGTGGACATTTGAGATATACTTTGTGTAATGTTTCTCAATATGACTTCAGAATTTTCATTTCAATTCTTGTATGCCACACTTAGGTGGCCGGATAAGTGGACATTTGAGATATATATTTTGTGTAATGTTTCTCAATATTATTTCCGAATTTTCATTTCAATTTTTGTATGCCCCACTTAGGTGGTCGGATAGGTGGACATTTGAGATATACTTTGTGTAATGTTTCTCAATATGATTTCAGAGTTTTCATTGTGATTGTTTTATGCCACACTTAGGTGGTCGGATAGGTGGACATTTGAGATATACTTTGTGTAATGTTTCTCAATATGATTTCAGAATTTTCATTTAAATTCTTGTATGCCATACTTAGGTGGCCGGATAGGTGGACATTTAAGATATACTTTGTGTAATGTTTCTCAATATGATTTCAGAATTTTCATTTTAATTCTTGTATGCCACACTTAGGTGGCCGGATAGGTGGACATTTAAGATATACTTTGTGTAATGTTTCTCATTACGATTTCGGAATTTTCATTTTAATGTTTCATGCCACACTTAGGTGGCCGGATAGGTGGACATTTGAGATATACTTTGTGTAATGTTTCTCAATATGATTTCAAGAGTTTTCATTTTGATTGTTTTATTCCACACTTAGGTGGTCGGATAGGTGGACATTTGAGATATACTTTGTGTGATGTTTCTCAATATTATTTAAGATTTTTTTTTTCAATTGTTGTATGCCACCCTCAGATGGTCGGATAAGTTGACATTTGAGATATATTTTGTGTAATGTTTATCAATATGATTTCAGAATTTTTATTTCAATCCTTTTATGCCACACTTAGGTGGCCGGATAGGTGGACATTTGAGATATATTTTGTGTGATGTTTCTCAATATGATTTAAGAATTTTTTTTTTCAATTGTTGTATGCCACCCTTAGGTGGTCGGATAAGTTGACATTTGAGATATATTTTATGTAATGTTTATCAATATTATTGGAATGCCATAATTTTGACTTGGTATTGATATCTTGACACTCACAACATAGCATCTGTTTAATCTATATGTTGCACCATAGGGTTGGAATAGGCGAACATTTGTGATATGCTCTGTGTATTTCTCAGTTTCAAATATATAACACGTTTGGATCAATTTGTTTCGATTTGTCTACCTTCACGTTGCATTTTGAGTATTTTTTGATATAGAAGAATATTTCCAACACCAAACACAGTGCATCTCCCTTGCACGAAAGACGGAACATTGAAGAAGTAATGCTATTTTTTGTGATAAATATTGCTAAATGGTTCGAATCCATCGGAAATTGAAGCGAGGTCATACGCTTTAAAATGCGTATTAAAATAAAAGCAACATCATTTATGTAGACATCCAGAGCGACATATAAGAGGGGTCCGGCTTAGTGCCGAAATAGGCTAAAACATTTGGTGGTCTGAATTAAGTGGACGAATTAAGCGGACAAAAATTCTATATCTTTTATCGAGAGGATTGTGTTGACTCTTTTTCTCCGTAGTTGTCAACGGCTCTCGCGCTCTCCAAGCACGTATTTAAAAACAATGATACGGACACAGGAACGACGTCCGCTTAAGTACTGCAATTATGGCAGGTCCGTTTAACTACCGTAATAGAGTTATATATATATATATATATATATAATAATTGATGTAAAGTATATTTGATTTATTTTTTAAAATAAATTTACTCTGTGGTATATTATCGCTGACTTAAAGGTTTTTTCTTACGGTGATATCCTCAAAATAATGAGTGGCGGAATTGCGATGAAGTGACAGATATAGATCTATTTTTGTTTTGCAAAATTACGAATCAAAACAACATATACTCGTACATGTTTATGTCCACGGATTGCGTTGGTATTTTGGAGCAGTGCTACTATTAATATTGTCGCAATCACAGATTAAATTGATCACAATTAAATTACTGGAGCAACACCTTTCGTTTCGTGGAGATTCGAGGTGATAAAGATGTATGTTTGATATATACACTTTATATGTATATTCATTGTCTTTAATTAAATTGTACTTTCTCGGATTTTATACCAGATCTTGGGATTTTTATAACGGCGATAACAAATTCGCAAGAGCGCAAAAATATGTATCAAAACTAAATATAATCAAGCAGTTTATTTCACATTATTATGTCAGCAGATTATAGGGTTATTTTAGATCAGCAATGTCTTTGGACGCAATGGACGCAATCGCAAGTTAACTTGAGCACAATTAGATTAAAATTGAAAGATAGTTTTAATTCCCTTGGCTGCCATAGATTGAACCTTACCCTACAAGAAAACAGAAAACGTCATTATGGACTATTTCAATGAATTCGCAAACGCAGCGACTTGGGAGGTTATACGCAGTGAGACTTAAAAACGGGCCTCGTCTTATTTACCGCGTAGACTTAGTCGCGGGAAATAATGAATCAATTCCTTTCGAATCAATCACTAAATTAATTTAGTACAAGCCGAGTAATTTTTATTTTGATGACTCGAGTTGCTTCAAATCATTGATAAATGGTTATTCAGGTTGAATTCGAGTCAAGTCAGTAATTCGAGCTTCTGCAGCATTGAAGTTCAGTGTGAAATTTAAAAGAGTCCGAAGTAGTGATGATGGCGATTGTTTTAGCCTTCGCCTTCTGTAATTTATGTTTCTTGTGTTTACGTTGACAATATGTATAATAAAATATTCAAATACCTTTTTAATTCCTTTTTTACCAAATCTAGAACTTCTTGGTGGGCCGATGATATATTGGGTGTAGTTTGTCTTTCATCCTTCAGTTGTTGAACAGGCAGATGGGTCGGATCTTAAGTAATTTTCACTTTGATTAATATGAGTTATTAGCAGGCTTGTCCATGGGAATGAGATTCCCATAGGAAACGTCCTATGGGATGGGATGGGACAGCTCACATAAGTATATCCCATGGGACACGAAAACCGTATGATTTACGTGGAAATGATGGTAAAACATTTCGTTATGGACTTTGTGTTCATATCTTTACTTTGAGCATAGCTCTCTTGTTAGCTATAAAGAGCAAAACGTATTCAGCAATAACGATATGCTTCGTGAATGGCCTGATGGACACATGTATTATAGTTAGGAATATTAAGTTAATTTTGTTGTTTTGCATGTCTCTTTGTACATGTTGTCCTATTTAGTAGTCGCTAAACCTAAATTCAACGATTTTTATTGAATTTTAATCCAATGGGAATCCCATGGGATGGGATGGGACAGGCATAATTGCTAAGGGATGGGATAAGAATGGAACAGACGAATATGCCCCATGGACAAGCCTGGTTATTAGTGATATATTTACTAACACTAGATCAATAAAATTAGATTTTATGAATATGATATGACCAGATTTGTGGAGTTGATAAAATATATATTACTGGAGCCTAGAGAGATTAATTTAATGACAAAGGGAAGGCTCTACGGTCGCCATAACTACACGTCCCATAGTTAAGTCGTTAAAAGAAACTCACCTTTTCTTATAATTTCCTCCATTTGCTGTATCAAAATATTAGTATAAAACAACAGTCCTTTGTCCGACAAATGGACATCGTCCCTGCTCCAATTGTCAGTGTTATAATTTAAATTCTGAAAATCGAGAACGGGGGTTTGTTCTTTTCTGCATATTTTTGAATTTCTGCATTCACAATTCCCACGCAGTTAGAATGCCTGCCAGTCTGCGCCAATATTTTGGCAAAAACAATCTATAGATAAAGTGAAAATTATTGAACAAAATATACGTTGCGCTGATATATATTGACTTCAATCATAACAAAATTATTAAATTTCATGCTAAAGCTTTTTCAATCACTCCCAAATTGGAGGATAATGAACATGCAAATATATATAATGTTTCAAATACGAAGACGTTACATCTGTTAAATGTGCTTTTTGTATAAATATTTTAATCAAATGACATAAGATCGTAAACGGTGTAAAATTTCTTGAAGCCAGAAATAATAGTATGAGAACTTTGATTAAGGATAAACGAGATTTTGTTCTCAAGCTGTTTTGATATTCACATAAATTAAAAAAATATAAAAATCACCTTCACACGAGGATAAATAATTTGCACAGCGGCTGTAAAGGATTCCAATTCTTCCAAAATGTCGATGGTGTGTTCTTGGCAATTGTTCGAAAAATTGTTGCTGCCCAAGGCACAAATTAAAAAATCAAGCTTTTCAAAGTGACGACCATCTAAGAGTTCTTTTTGCCCATGCGAAATCCGACCACCGGGAATGGCCACCACGGATAGGTCGAATTTGCATTTTTTTGGCACTCTGACAACCTGAACATTTAGAATAAAGTAATTAAGATTTTTGCAATAATCTTTAATTCGACCTAATATTAAATATATAATAATATTATATCTTATAGTTATCTGAGGCAAAGCCAAGATTTTCAAAAGCTTCAAAAGGGTTAAAATATTAAATTTTCATGCAATGGTTGCTGAAACAGTCGCGCAGATGACGCGAATCGTTAGAAGAACCGAATTTCTAAGCGGATAATAATTTTACTGTTGTGCAAAATTTTGAATCCACGGTCTATGAGAGCTTTTAAAAATGAATTTGCATATTAATTTGACTTTATAGAATTATTAATTTTAATTCGCAGCTTGCTAATTCGTCAACTTTATATCATTTTTAAGATATCGCCGTTAAAAAATCCGAATATCAGCAATAACATAAAATACAATTTATTCTAGTATAAAATAAAAAATGAATTTTTTTCACCAGCTACGACATTCATAAAACAAATATAATGATGTTTTTCGTTTTTTTTGACAGTATTTTATAGGAGGCGAGTTTCGATTCCGAACAAAAATCCGCAAACAAAATGAATCTAAAATTACATTCGAATTTCAAATCATTTTAAGTCAAATTTTCGCAGTTACTAAGCAGTTGCGAAACGCCGTTTCGAATTTCTCATCAAGATTAACCGTAAATAAGCTTCATCAAACAAACCATATATGCCTGGGATGTCGCCGTGATATGCCCTGTTACCTGTTTTGGAGTTGGAGACGATGCCCGATAATTTCTAACTTTTTTCAGTGGTTCTACACCTGACGCAGTATAACGAACAATGTGTCACACCCAGATTTTATATATGAATATAACGCTTAATAGCCAAGTATATTTAGTTATATTACATAAAGACACCTAAAATATTAAAGTAATTCTTTTTACATACCTGTGGATTCACTAAATTTCGACCATTACTGTCCGTAACTAAGAGAACATGGTTCTCGTGCGATCGAGCAGAAAATAAATATTCCGTTAGCTTCCCGCTTGCCCCTCGTCTCCATGGCACAACTTTTGTTCGAAAGCCTGCCTCCATTTTTTTTTGCCATATTGTTAACAAACTAATATATTATATCTCAGAATGTTCTCTCTGAAATTATTTAAATATACAATGAATTATTAACCAAACCGAATAAAGGGCCATCCGTCATTCATGTCGGCGAGACTATCGAGAACTAAAATGCGGTACACAATGAAAGAGATGCCAAAAATTGTCAAGCTAGTGCAACTTTATCCCACAATTACTAACTATTGCAATTGAATAAACCGGCGATTACTATTACTGGACTCACAGAACTAAGCGTGCAACCAAAAATCGTGATAGAAAATTTCCTGACATAAATTTTTAAGAAACTTCGAATATTGAAATTTAAAAGCATTTGGATATAGAAATTTAACCACTAAAACATATTACCGTGCAGTACAATCTATGTTACGGTATTTGACGACTTCGCATTTTACTGTGTTGCTGACCTAGTCTATTAGAAAGAAATAAGGATGAAGTCGGGTGGTTGAGAAAAGTACGCACCTGCATTCGTTCCGAGATTTTGCAAAATCGAAACTCGTGTTCTACTTTCAGTCGTGTTTTCAATTACGTATAAAATTCTTTCAAATTGTGGAACTCAACGTTTCATGGTGTCAGCAACTTTTGATAAAATAGGGCATTGTCAATCAGGATTTACACATAAATAAAAAATGTACCTACCAACAACTCGAATTTTCCGATTAATATACCACATGTGTTGTATTTATAATATTTTCAGTAACGGATTACATATGAATGCAAAATGTTGTTCCCAACAACTCAACTTGTATGATGTTCCACATATATACTATTATATTCTTCGATAATAAAATGTCGCCTCTCTTAATCGGATAGGCATACTACATTCGCTTGAAAATTGTGAAAATTCACGGTTTTTTCACCTATGATATGGATTTTGACGAAATAGCTCATTTTCAGTAACGGATTACACATAATTGCAAAATTTTGTTCCCAACAATTCAACTTATGGGATGAAGGGTGTATATCTTATTATATTTTTCAATAATAAAATCTCGCCCCTCTTAATCGGAAAGACATGCTGTTGTAATTTGAAAAATGTGAAATTTTACGTTATTTCGCCTATGCAAATTTCGACGGAATAGGGCATTTTCAGTAACGGAATGCACATAATTGCAAAATTTTGTTCCCAACAACTCAACTTGTGGGATGAAGAGTGTATATACTAAAATAATTATCAATAATAAAATCTCGCCCCTCTTAATCGGAAAGACTTGCTGTTGTAATTTGAAAAATGTGAAATTTTACGTTATTTTGCATATGCGATTTGGGAATAGGGCATTTTCAGTAACGGAATGCACATGATTACAAAATTTTGTTCCCAACAACTCAACTTGTGGGATGAAGAGTATATCTATATATTTCAATAATAAAATCTCGCCCCTCTTAATCGGAAAGACTTGCTGTTGTAATTTGAAAAATGTGAAATTTTACGTTATTTCGCCTATGCAAATTTCGACGAAATAGGGCATTTTCAGTAACGGAATGCACATGATTACAAAATTTTGTTCCCAACAACTCAACTTGTGGGATGAAGAGTGTATATCTTATTATATTTTTCAATAATAAAATCTCGCCCCTCTTAATCGGAAAGACTTGCTGTTGTAATTTGAAAAATGTGAAATTTTACGTTATTTCGCCTATGCAAATTTCGACGGAATAGGGCATTTTCAGTAACGGAATGCACATGATTACAAAATTTTGTTTCCAAAACTCAACTTGTGGGATGAAGAGTGTATATCTTATTATATTTTTCAATAATAAAATCTCGCCCCTCTTAATCGGAAAGACTTGCTGTTGTAATTTGAAAAATGTGAAAATTTACGTTGTTTTGCCTATGAAGATTTCGACGAATTGAGGAATTTTGAGTACCGGAATACATAATTGCAAAATTTTGTTTCCAACAACTCAACTTGTGGTTGGTATGAAGAGTCTATATACTAAAATAATTATCGAAATTAATATCTCTCCCCTTTTAATCGGATAGATATTCTACTGCAGCCTGAAAGTTGTGAAATTTTACGTTTTTTTCGCCTGTGTCGATTTCGGTGAAATAGGGCATTTTCAGGAACAGAATACACATAAAAGCAAAATGTTTTTTTTTTCAAATTACCCAAATGCGTGCCCCCCGCCCTCTCCTGTTTTGGAAGGTAAAAATGCATCTTTCTGTAGCTGCATAGCAATTTTTCGTAGCTTGAAACTGTTTTTAAACATCCAAGACTCTTGAAAACACTCCTGTTCCGGCTTTCGGTCGGATCAGCTAGCTCAGGGATTCTCAAACCTTTTTTCTGACAAGTACCCCCCAAGTCACGAAACAATCAACGCGAACCCCCGGTAATCAGACACCGAAGAAAGTTGTGATACACTGACTAGCAATTTGTTGCAACACCAATTTAATGACCATATGTAACTAAATCAAATCGTCTTGTTGATATTGTTGCCCTTGTCGCATGCGTAACTAATGAATTATTAAAATATCTCCCAGATTACAATAAGCATAATCACTTCTCCATTGCTCGCAGCACGCTGTCTTTAGAGATTTCACAGTTTGTACACAAAGCCTTGAATTTTCACATTGTTGCGTCAAAATCACGACAACGCAAGCTCAGGGAAAATCTACGTTTCAATTGGCGTTTAGTTTCAATGGGCACGCATTTTCCCATGATAGTAATAAAGGATATTAAAAAACAGCATCATACAAAAACTCGACTATCATCCAAAGTACCCCTTGAAATCTTCTTGTGAACCCCCTGGGGGTTCGCGAACCCCTACTAGCTATTTCCATCTAACAAATAAAATTTCAGGCCCCTTAAAAAATTTCGGTTACGCCCTGCACACGTTATTGAAAACACAGAGAATAACAAATGTCATTTGGTTGATTTTTTCGCTACGAATTTAAGATACGAGGATGTCTTTTTATTACCTCATAAAATGCAAAATTTCAGACCTAGCAATATGTGTACATTAATAGTATTTAGTTGGCTTAAAAATAGCGAAAGTCCCTACTACACTCAGACGATAAATTCATATTCTTAATTTACTGTGAAATACACTTAAATTTACTTATTATAGTGTTGAATTACTTATTTATTTATAAACCAAAGTCATTTCTCCGTGTGGAAATGAAGACTCGCCCGCATTACGCACCACCGATCTCCGACAAGTACAAAAGAGAGATTCAACGCATTACTGCGTAAATTAGAAGAAGGCGTGCTCCTAGCTTCACAGTGGTCATTGGGTACCGTAAAACCGGCTTAACTTCGGATGATTTCATAATACTCTAATCAATTACTCAGCCATTTTTGTCCGATTCGCGTCAAACTTGAAATATATTACATTGATGTACGTGTCTCTGTACATGCATTTAATTTTTGCATTTAATTTCACTTTCAAGTTGTTTTCAATCTTAAACGTCTTTATTTTTTTTTCTATTATCGTAATTAAATCCGGAATATTCACCGATCAAAGTTGATTTTGTTATAGCCGATGTTTGATATCGTCTGTCAAAACGTTCACGTCGTAAATAGTCGCACGATAAACGTTTTTCAGCATTTCATATGACGGTTGACCTATTTAAATGTTGGTCGCGTATAAATCACGAAAAAACACCGATTTGGCAATAGGCAACTTTGACTTAAATGACTTTTGTTAAATTCACAAAACCGAACTCATTTAAATATTTTATAATTACGCAATATTCCATCATTCATATGACGGTTTCTTTATTAAAATGACCTATTTAAATGTTGGTCGCGTATAAATCACGACAAAACACTGATTTGGCAATAGGCAACCTTGATTTAATGTTAGATTCACAACACCGAACTCATTTACGACAATTCATCCCTGGTTATATATTTTATAATTACACAGTATTCCCCGACCGCTCACTATTTTCTATTTCGAACCATGTTGCCGTTCCAAATGGAGGAATTTGAAATAGTCAAATCGAGCGAAAATGCTTTTAGTTAATTGTCATTTTCAAGGAATTTAACCCTTTCCATGCGATTTTTATTTTTTATTAATAATCGTATTTGCTACGCCATCTTTATGCATTTGTACCCACACAACTAATCGATCGACTAACGAAAAAGTAATGATCCTCTGCTGCCCACTGATGGCTCGTTGGAAAGCTCATTTAAAGAGCTTGCAATTGGCGATTAAAAAAATTTTTTTTTTTCAAAAGGGTGGTCTGAGTCACAAACCGGATAGAAAAAAGGCATTTTTTTTTTGGGTGTTGAAACTTCAAACCGTGATAAAAAATAGAAATAAATCCTTTACTGTTACCGCTTCTTGGTTGGCAAACAATAGCATAATATTGCTGTAGCAATTTCGTTATCTAACTCAAAATACTTTGGTAGATGGAAGGGATAATATGTCTTCTATTACCACCCAAAAAACACCGAAATTTGCATAAATTTCAAAAACACTCCCTCGTTCCCCCGCAAATAAAATTTCCATGGTAAATGAAAGCGAGATTTACCGTCGCTTATGTTAATCTCGAAGAAGACTTCTTATCAATAAACTAAAACCCGGAAAAACTAGACCAACAGTTTGCGACCGATTGCTAAATAAAACAGTGGAGTACATCAACGTACCCGCCGCAATCTAGCGAGTTTTGTCGTGGGTACGTATACGTGCCCACCGCACGGAAATGGTTAATTAAATTACATTTCCAACATTTAATGTCATGAATTTATGATTCACAAAAAACTGTTGATGTATATGTTAGCCAATATTGATCCAACCAAACAGAATATCGTTGCTATTTTCAAATCCATGGCAACTCGTCGGCGCCCGAATGTCTGGAGTCAAATCTATAACGGCGACGCAACATGACGTCGTCTTCGAAGTGAGCGACGTCAAGTTCAACGTGTGCGTCAGATGCTATTATTTTAATAAATGAAAAATTATTCGAATATCAATTCTTTCACGAGTCTCCTGCGATATCTCGCTATCAGTCTAATTTTCTATTTACATTGTTATCGTCCTCTATCGAATGACGGTAGTTTAAGGAAGTTAGCATCAGTAGAAGTCGCAACGCTTGAAAACGGATTGCGCAATTGAATATGATAACAGATTTAAATATATAAGGACTCACTGTAGAAACTGCCAGAAGCACAATATGACATAATTTAGTCGAGATATAAACGATTGAAAATAAATTTCATCCGAAGTTACAAGGCATCCGAAGTTAGCCGGTTTTACGGTATTTAGCTGATTTTTGCATTTATTATATGACAATGGCCAGTGTTTGCAAAATGGAGAGAAATCTCATGTTTGTGAACAATGTGGAAAAGTTTTCACGATTAGATAATTTACATAGGCATGAACGAAGTCATACTGGAGAGAAACCTCATGTTTGTGAACATTGTGGAAAGAGTTTTCTGCAGTTATTTAATTTACAAATGCATGAACGAACCCATACTAAAGAGAAACCTTATGTTTGTAAACAATATGGAAAGGGTTTTTCACGATTATCCAGTTTGAAAAGGCATGAACAAACTCATACCGGAGAGAAACCTTATGGTTGTAAACAATGTGGAAAGAGTTTTTCACAATTATTTAGTTTACGGTTGCATGAACGAACTCATGCTAAAGAGAAACCTCATGTTTGTGAACAATGTGAAAAGAGTTTCTCGTGTATATCCAATTTACGTTGCATGAGCGAACTCATACAGGTGACAGGCCTTGTATTTGTAAACAATGTGGAAGAAGTTTTTCACAATCATCTAATTTACATAGGCATGAACGAAGAAAGAGTTTTTTGCAGTTATTTAATTTACAAATGCATGAACGAACCCATACTAAAGAGAAACCTTATGTTTGTAAACAATTTGGGAAGCGTTTTTCACAATTATCCAGTTTACATGTGCATGAGCGAACCCATACTAAAGAGAAACCATATGTTTGTAAACGATGTGGAAAGGGTTTTTTACGACTATCTGATTTATAAGTCATGAACGAACTCATACCGGAGAGAAACCTTATGTTTGTAAACAATGTGGGAAAGGTTTTTCACAATTATCCAATTTACATAGGCATGAACGAATTCATACTGATAAGAAACTTTATGTTTGTAAACAATGTGGAAAAATTTTTCACAATTATTTAGTTTACGTATGCATGAGCGAACTCATACAGGTGACAGGCCTTGTATTTGTAAACAATGTGGAAGAAGTTTTTCACAATCATCTAATTTACATAGGCATGAACGAAGTCATACCGGAGAGAAACCTCATGTTTGTGAACAATGTGGAAAGAGTTTTTTGCAGTTATTTAATTTACAAATGCATGAACGAACCCATACTAAAAAGAAACCTTACGTTTGTAAACAATTTGGGAAGCGTTTTTCACAATTATCCAGTTTACATGTGCATGAGCGAACCCATACTAAAGAGAAACCCTATGTTTGTAAATGATGTGGAGAGGGTTTTTTACGACTATCTGATTTAAAAAGTCATGAACGAGCTCATACCGGAGAGAAACCTTATGTTTGTAAACAATGCGGGAAGGGTTTTTCACAATTATCCAATTTACATAGGCATGAACGAACTCATAGCGGAGAGAAACCCCATGTTTGTAAACGATGTGAAAAGGGTTTTTCACAATTATCTGATTTAAAAAGGCATGAACGAACTCATACCTGAGAGAAACCTTATGTTTGTAAACAATGAAGGGTTTTTCACAAATATTCAGTTTACAAATGCATGGGCGAATTCATATCGGAGAGAAACCTCATGTTTGTAAACAATGTGGAAAGAGTTTCTCGTGTATATCCCATTTACGTAGGCATGAGCGAAGTCATACCGGAGAGAAACCTCATGTTTGTGAACATTGTGGAAGCAGTTTTTTGCAGTTATTTAATTTACAAATGCATGAACGGACACATACTAAAGAGAAACCTCATGTTTGTAAACAATGTGGAAAGGATTTTTCACAATTATCCCATTTACGTAGGCATGAGCGAAGTCATACAAGCCTTTTATTTGTAATAAATGTGGAAAGTGTTTTTCACAATTATCTACTTTACATGTGCATGAACAAACTCATAATGAGAAGAAACGTTATTTTTGTAAACGGTTTTTCACAATCATTTACCGGTAGTTTAAAAATGCAGGAACAAACTCATACCAGAGAGAAACAGGTTCGTAAACGATGTGGAAAGAGTTTTTCAATTGTTCAATGAACTAAATCATATCGGAATGTAATATATTTACAACACGACACGGACGTTCGCACAAATGTTAGTCTTTTCCAAAAAGTGTTTTGCATTTATCCAGTTCTCGTGCACATAAGCGAAGTCATAGTGAAGAGAAACAGTATTCTTGTGAATGATGCAATAAAGTTTTTCAAAGTCTCATTATTCACAGGTGCATAAAAAAAGCGGACTATCATCCGCTCTGCATGTATGAACTGGAGAAAACCTCATGTTTGTAACTAATGTGGAAAGTTTTTTGCAATTATCTCGTTTATATAGACATGAACAAACTCATTGCGCATACTTGAAATCAATGCATGTAGGTTTTTTAGCATTTCGCAGATGTTTTCGTGTAATTGTGCAGTTTTTATGTACACGAGCAAAGTCATACGGAAGAGAAATCTTAGATTTATAAACAATATGTAAAGCATTTCATCACAATTATACAATTAAAGATAATTATCTATTCTTGTTATGAGTATCATACATGTGAGCAATACGGAAAAGGCAGTACGTTGTAAACAGCATTTCATATGTGAGAGACTTTATATTTGTAAATGATGTGAACATAGATCTGGTTATTCTATTCATGCAATTAGAATTATATTATTACCTGTCTTATTTTCATTATCATTTCATCATGTGTATATTAATGCCAAGCCTGCACTGCTCCACTGATCGATTTGAATGACACATGACCATAGAAACTAGTATACCTCAATCAATTTACACACTTCAGTGCTTGTCAATCGGGGAATTCCCATAAGTTATCCGGTGGGTTCGATTAGTGATGCTGTCATGTACCTCTTATGGTCGTCTCAAATAACATTCGGTTAAAGTGTTTCCCCTGAATTTCCAAGCCCTAGCATTTACCCCTTTTTTATTCCCATTTTTTCCTCAATTTTTGGAGTCGCATAATTACTCGTTTTTTGTGCTTCATGTAGTAATGATAGTTTTTATCATTGAGTCAACATTTCCCAACCAGGGAAGAATTTTGCTCATTTTGGGAAGGAATTATGATTCGCTGTAGTATGATTAATATTATTATGAAACTTCGGCGCACCATAGTATGTGCACCAAGATGTCACACAACCTGAACCTTAACCCGGTACACATACTATGTTCAAGTTGTGCGTCTTCTTGGTGCACATACTTCTGGAGCTAAACTTCTATCCAAGAACGAGTGATGAAATATTTAAACTGGTATCTTGTGTACAAGGCCCCCGCCAATAATGCAAAAAAAATGTGATACTTTAAGAAAAGAAACATCTCTGTCATCTTTTTGAATATCAAATTAGTAATTATCCAGTCAGAATGATTTTGAATTTGCACTTCAATCTACCTGAATGATTATTATCAGTTGTTACTTTTCGATCTTAAGATCGGTAAGTATATTGATATGTATTTGTCTGTATGTCTGTTAGAATCTGCTCTAAATTTTGCACATGCATGCATCATATCTCGGACCAGAAGCCTATAGATTTTGGGTTAATTATGTCGTATAATTAGCGAGTTATTAATTAATTAATTATCGCTCGATCGATAAGTGTTCGGTCTCCGACCGATATTCTCATTTTATTTTTAGCGGTTTCTTTTCTTTGTTTGTTATTGTGAAAAATGGGTATCAACGAATTTTTGCCCTTTCTCGAGACTACCATTTGTTCTGTTTTACATCTCTTTGTTTTATCATCGCTGACGTGTCTTTTATCAAATGATAAACGAAGGTCTCAACGCTATTATCTCCTTGGATATAAAGATGTACCCTTAGCTCCAATGCCCTAAATAATGACAATGTATTAATATAAATGTATTTCGGGGATAATAAAACAAGGTACATTTTATGGATAGAATCTTATTACATAGAAATGACCCTCTCTTCGACACTATCTGGTTTAAAAATTCAGCAACCTATACTAAACCTAGTTTTCAAAATTGAACAACCTATTTCGAATCAAGTTTTGTTTTATAATTGAAGCTCGTCAAAAACCTATAGCTCAATAAACAAGTGGAATTTAATGCAAGTGCGCAAAAATGTGCGTGTTTTTACCTACAACCGAAGCACGCAGCAAAATGTGTGTGATGTTCTAGTGTTCGAAATGTTTGACTCAACTAAGTTGGCATAACAGGTGCACATCTCGGTTTTGCATACGTCAGGGGTCGGCAACATTTTGTCACTTGCTGACCAAAATGAAAGTTTGCAAGTCATTGGCGGGCCGCGCACATTCTTAGAAAGTTAGAAACCGAACGGATGGCCGACGAATCACATTTTTCATACAGGCCAGAAGTTAAATTTTAAGATGCGCGCGAAGATTGAACATTTAAATATTTTCTGCGCTATTAAACCATTTGCAGTTAGCACCAACTTTTCTGTGTTTGGTTGCCATTTGTCTACTTATAGGCTCATTAAACGAGTAATTGTAAATTATATACTTGTTAGGGTATAATATAATTTTGTCTATACACGTGTCTCACAATAAATTCTGTTACGTAAAGACTATAATCGTCACTAAATTCAGCGAAGACTCGTGGGCCGTAGGTTGCCGACCCCTGGCATACGTATACCTTCTGTCTCCACAAAGATATATTAATCCTGCCAAAGTCAATGCTGCACCTGAAAGGTTCCGGTTATTCCAGAAGAAAACACTTCACACATCGTTAGATACCAGTGGATGGTTTTACATGGCCTTGTTTGCAGCGAGGTCAAATATTTCAATTCAATTCAACTAATAAAATATTTCCCAATTCCCTAAGATTAAAGTAGGAAAACGAAATGCTCGCGGCAACGCAAATGTAGCTTGAAGAGCGCAAAAGAAAGTGGCTAGATGCTGTCGATGGATCTTGGCTTGTATTAGTGAAATAAACTACCATTTATTCTGCTAAAATTGAATTTCGGCCATGCTACGTAATTATGAAATAATTGTTTTTAACAAAAAGGTGCTCTTGAAGAATTCGACCAAGATGGCGCACAACCTGAACTTTGTATGTTTACCAGGCTAGGGTTCAGGATGTGCGTCATCTTGGTACAACTACTCAAAATCCACTTAAAAAAAATTGTTCAACATTATATACTCCACACCCACCTGGGTATCGTTATTTATGTCATCGACATTATATCTAAACAATAAAAAAACTTAATGTCCCAAAACAATGTTAAGGACCGATTCTGCCGGATTATAAAGGTTAAAGACCTTTTTAGGAACGGCATAGTATTTCAAATAGGCATATAGACGCGTGAAGCATTTGTTAAATAAATTCGTGATCGCTACTCTCGTTAACCAAATGCGAACTGAAATAAAGATTTTATGGTTATTGGACACGTAGTGGACATAACGATCGTTTCAAAATTTTGTTGTGATTGTTGTTATTTGTCTTCGTCATTATTAAAAAATTGTTTTTCTCTTCGAATACTGTACCAACTGCTTTAAAATTTTCAGTAGTTGAAGATAAAATTTTGCTCCAGAAGGGTATTACTTTTTTTTTTCGCTATGACGCCATCAAAATGATATGATTCTACGTGTCCATATATTTGAGCATAGCTCTCTTGTTTTAAATGTGTCCTGTCATATGATAACGTCCAATTAACCGATATTCTTGTTTGTTTTCACTTCTGGAATCATCAATTAACCCTCTCTTCGACACTATCTGGTTTAAAATTCAGCAACCTGTACTGAACCAAGTTTTCAAACCGGTTTTATAATTGAGTTCTTACTTCCATACAATCGAGACTTAATTTAACTGATATAGTTCCATCGCGTATCTTATATACATGAGAATTATCCGCAATCGAATATTTAGAAACTTGCGCGTATTCATGTCGTGACGCAATTTCAAATCCTAATCGGATTTACGGTGTTGCGTGACGTTCAGTATGAAATAAACAATAACATCGCGTAATTTCAGTTTTCGTAATATTCCATTTATAAAGAAATCGTAATGAATTTTATATTACATATGTTATCAAAAAGTTACAGAAGAGTTACCTGAATTTACCCGTAATTCAAGAGTAAATCTAATCTGTTCTAGATTGCAACTTACGCTACTAACTGAAAACAAATTGTAATTTCCGTGAGTTTATCAATGAAGCAAGAGAGCTATGCTCAAATATATGCCCACGTAGCGCCACATCACATTGAGAAAAAAAATAATAACCTTCTGGAAAAAAGCAATTGGTCCAGCATTCGATCGTTATGTCCACTACGTGCTCAAAGAGGGCTATTAGTATTATCCTGAATCAGTTTTCCTCGATGCACGCTTTGCTTGTTGCGATATACACATATCACGTGCTACTGGAGGCGAACTAAATGGCATAACTTGTACATTCACTTCAGAAGGTATTGGTGATTCTTAGGCTGCCAAGTGAGGAATTGTACTTACAACTAAGGTGTGCAACCAGCAGAATGTATGAGAGCTAAAATTACCACATCCGGAATTAGAAGAATAGCCATTTGCAACGCACTTTCATCACGGATTAGAAAATACGAAGCCTTAAAGGGGGATTTATCGAAGAGATCACCCTCATTTCATCCAAAAGTTATTACTATCTGCATGATGGAATGGTTTTGAACATTTTGTTCATGATCCACAAAAAATAAATGAGTGAAATTATGCAACAGAACATGTTGTTCATTCAGAGTTCTTTAATTTAATCTTCGAATGGTTGATGCCTCGTCTTCATCTTTGTGTCGGATGGGTTGGGTGATTAAATTTTATTGAAGGCCAATGGATGCCTGCAGATTATTTGTATTTGTTTGAGTTTCTGTGAAAGCACACCCGTCACTATGACAAACAGACGAACACCGACTGGCCCGGAGCCTAATTTATATTTTTGTAGATACATTGGAGAATTTCTTATCTTCTGCATAAAATCTTAACTTATTAACGGGGACCCAAATCGATCAATACCATATAGCAGCGGTTCCCAAAAAGTGCGTTCAATTTTACTATCAGCCATTTCCATGAAATATTTTATTTTCTCTCACAAGTTTAAAGTTCAGGACAAATTATACAGTTATTATCAGAAATAAAATGACTTCTCTTATTGGTTTAAAAAAAGTTTTCAAAAATGAATAGCAGCTGACGTATCTGAGTAAAAAACCACCCCCTCGATGTTGTTGTATTATGACGCTAATAGAGAAAGCAACAATTGATTTAAATTTGGCCATGGTAATATTGCTACACGCCACCAAACATGGTAAGGAAATTTAAATGGGGGAGCAAAGATTCTCTAACTGGGATTAAGCTCTGTAGCACTGTGAAATAGCTGTACCACATTCTCTGCCGCTCCAATCAGTCCTATACATACAATATAAATGAAAACAAAAAAGATTAGATACCCGAAGCTTGTGAGCATTGTGACACTCAAGCAGGGACAATAAAAACATGAACAATAAACTGACATACATAATCCCGAAACACCAGTTTTACCATAAATAATTTTGCAGTGGTAAAGTATAGGAAGAATTTGATAGTGGTCAAAAACCGTGAAATCATCCACTGCTATTGTTTTGTTGAACAGAAAACAGTCATGACGAGAACAAAATACAATAAACGAACATTATGTTGGATAATGTCACTAGAACAAAATTTTTCCTTCCCGTAATTTTTTTGATATTATTTGTAAGCCAAATATCAAGGATGAAAATATGCAAAAAAACTAAGCCTTTTCAAGCTGAACGAGAAGTAAAATGAATCATTTTGATTAAACGATTTCTACAAAGTTAGATGCCATCTTATTTTGAATTGGTTACATTGCGATGATAAAGAATTCGGCCTTCAAATAATCTGACAATAATAGCACTATCATATTAGTTCATAATCTACCGAAAGCAGTATGAAACATACCATTTATTATTAGAAAAACCTTGTCCAAGGTTTCGATAGTTTCTGCTGATTTTGTAATCAGTTTTATCAATTCTGATATGCTGATTATGGAGTTGAAATAGATAAATACGGGATTGCAGGGAAGATGCTGAAACTTGAGATGAGGCAATTTATACACTGGATACTTGAATGTTCTTGTGTGATTAAATTCTGGTGGGTGCATCCACTTTGCTGTTCCGGTTCAATCTTATGAATGTGACTGATAGTATTTCAGAAGAACGGTTGAAGGCAGGATTGTTGTTTTATATCCCAAGATCTTTCCTATTGTGGGTTCAAATCACTATTTCACGTTGTTGCCAAGTAGAAGGGTTTTCCTCCTGGGTAAGCTCTGCGAAGTGTGTAAATGTCAAAAACACTTTCCATGTTTACAAACAAGACTTCTTGCCTGTATGGATTAGCAGATGTCTTTGTAAATTTGATTTTGATGGGAAATATTTTCCACATTGTTCACAAGCAAAAGGTTTTTCTCTTGTATGAGTTATCTTATTTATATTATTATACTATCATAGCATTTCAAATAGGCATATAGACGAGTGAAGCATTTGTTAAATAAATTCGTGATCGCTACTCTCGTTAACCAAATGCAAACTGAAATAAAGATTTTATGGTTATTGGACACGTAGTGGACATAACGATCGTTTCAAAATTTTGTTGTGATTGTTGTTATTTGTCTTCGTCATTATTAAAAAATTGTTTTTCTCTTCGAATACTGGACCAACTGCTTTGAAATTTTCAGTAGTTGAAGATAAAATTTTGCTCCAGAAGGGTATTACTTTTTTTTCGCTATGACGCCATCAAAATTATGTGACTATACGTGTCCATATATTTGAGCATAGCTCTCTTGTTTCAAATGTGTCCTGTCATATAATAACGTCCAATTAACCAATATTCTTGTTTGTTTTCACTTTTGGAATCATCAATTAACCCTCTCTTCGACACTATCTGGTTTAAAATTCAGCAACCTGTACTGAACCAAGTTTTATAATTGAGTTCTTACTTCCAAATCATGAGCTTCTATACAACTATCCTATCAGCGAACTGCCTTCATACAATCGAGACTTAATTTAACTAATATAGTTCCATCGCGTATCTTATATACATGAGAATTATCTGCAATCGAATATTTAGAAACTTGCGCGTATTCATGTCGTGACGCAATTTCAAATCCTAATCGGATTTATGGTGTTGCGTGACGTTCAGTATGAAATAAACAATAACGTTGCGTAATATTCCATTTATAAAGAAATCGTAATGAATTTTAAATTACATTGTTATTAAAAAGTTACAGAAGAGATACCTGAATTTACCCGTAATTCAAGAGTAAATCTAATCTGTTCTAGATTGCAACTTTTGCTACCAACTGAAAACAAATTGTAATTTCCGTGAGTTTATCAATGAAGCAAGAGAGCTATGCTCAAATATATGGACACGTAGCGCCACCTAGTGGCAATAATTTTGATGACGTCACAGCGAGAAAAAAATAATAACCTTCTGGAGCATTCGATCGTTATGTCCACTACGTGCCCAAAGAGGGCTATTAGTATTATCCTGAATAAGTTTTCCTCGATGCACGCTTTGCTTGTTGCGATATACACATATCATGTGCTACTGGAGGCGAACTAAATGGCATAACTTGTACATTCACTTCAGAAGGTATTGGTGATTCTTAGGCTGCCAAGTGAGTACTCTCTATTCCTGCTTACTTGGCAGCAGAAGTATGAGAGCTAAATTTACCACATCTGGAATTAGAAGAATAGCCATTTGAAACGCACTTGAAACGCACTTTCACCACGGATTAGAAAATACGAAGCCCTAAAGGGGGATTTATCGAAGAGATCACCCTCATTTCATCCAAAAGGTATTACTATCTGCATGATGGAATGGTTTTGAAAATTTTGTTCATGATCCACAAAAAATAAATGAGTGTTCATTTAGAGTTCTTTAATTTAATCTTCGAATGGTTGATGCCTCATCTTCATCTTTGTGTCGGATGGGTTGGGTGATTGAATTTTATTGAAGGCTAATGGATGCCTGCAGATTATTTGTATTTATTTGAGTTTCTGTGAAAGCACACCCGTCACTATGACAAACACCGATTGGCCCGGAGCCTAATTTATATTTTTGTAGATACATTGGAGAATTTCTTATCTTCTGCATAAAATCTTAACTTATTAACAGGGACCCAAATCGATCAATACCATATAGCAGCGGTTCCCAAAGAGTGCGTTCAATTTTACTATCAGCCATTTCCATGAAATATTTTATTTTCTCACAAGTTTAAAGTTCAGGACAAATTATACAGTTATCAGAAATAAAATGATTTCTCAATGTATTTAAAAATGAATAGCAGCTGACGTATCTGAGTAAACAATTGATTTGAATTTGGCCATGGTAATATTGCTACACGCCACCAAACATAGTAAGGAAATTTAAATGGGGGAGCAAAGATTCTCTAACTGGGATTAAGCTCTGTAGCACTGTGATAATATAATGTAAGTGAACAAAACACAGTGAAATAGCTGTACCACATTCTCTGCCGCTCCAATCAGTCTTATACATACAATATAAATGAAAAACAAAAAAGATTAGATACCCGAAGCTTGTGAGCATTGTGACACTCAAGCAGGGACAATAAAAACATGAACAATAAACTGACACATATGACATACATAATCCCGAAACACCAGTTTTACCATAAATAATTTTGCAGTGGTGAAGTATAGGAAGAATTTGATAGTGGTCGAAATAGGAAGAATTTGATAGTGGTCGAAAACCGTGAAATCATCCACTGCTATTGTTTTGTTGAACAGAAAACAGTCATGACGAGAACAAAATACAATAAACGAACATTATGTTGGATAATGTCACTAGAGCAAAATTTTTCCTTCCCGTAATTTTTTTGATATTATTTGTAAGCCAAATATCAAGGATGAAAATACGCAAAAAAACTAAGCCTTTTCAAGCTGAACGAGAAGTAAAATGAATCATTTTGATTGAACGATTTCTACAAAGTTAGATGCCATCTTATTTTGAATTGGTTACATTGCGATGATAAAGAATTCGGCCTTCAAATAATCTGACAATAATAGCACTATCATATTAGTTCATAATCTACCGAAAGCAGTATGAAACATACCATTTATTCTTAGAAAAACCTTGTCCAAGGTTTCGATAGTTTCTGCTGATTTTGTAATCAGTTTTATCAATTCCGATATGCTGATTATGGAGTTGGAATAGATGGATAAATTTAAATATGGGCGTATACAATACGGGATTGCAGGGAAGATGCTGAAACTTGAGATGAGGCAATTTATACACTGGATACTTGAATGTTCTTGTGTGATTAAATTCTGGTGGGTGCATCCACTTTGCTGTTCCGGTTCAATCTTATGAATGTGAAGAATCTCGTTCTCCCGCGACTGATAGTATTTCAGAAGAACGGTTGAAGGCAGGATTGTTGTTTTATTTCCCAAGATCTTTCCTATTGTGGGTTCAAATCACTATTTCACGTTGTTGCCAAGTAGAAGGGTTTTCCTCTTGGGTAAGCTGTGTAAATGTCAAAAACACTTTCCATGTTTACAAACAAGACTTCTTGCCTGTATGGATTAGCAGATGTCTTTGTAAATTTGATTTTGATGGGAAATATTTTCCACATTGTTCACAAGCAAAAGGTTTTTCTCCTGTATGAGTTATCTTATGTACTTTCAAATGACATAATCGTGAAAATCTCTTCCCACATTGTTTACAACTGTATGGTTTTTCTTCTGTATGAATTGACTCATGCACTTTTAGATAAGAGGATTGTGAAAAACATTTCCCACATTGTTTACAAACGTACGGTTTTTCTTCTGTATGAGTTGACTCATGCACTTTTAGATAAGAGGATTGTGAAAAGCCCTTCCCGCAATGTTTACAAACGCACGGTTTCTCTCCAGTATGAGTACGCGCATGCGATTTTAGATGAGATAATCGTGAAAATCCCTTCCCACATTGTTCACATACGTATGGTTTCTCTCCAGTATGAATACGCGCATGAGATTTTAGATGAGATAATTGTGAAAATCCCTTCCCACATTGTTCACATACATATGGTTTCTCTCCAGTATGAGTACGCGCATGCGATTTTAGATGAGATAATCGTGAAAAACCCTTCCCACATTGTTCACAAACGTATGGTTTCTCTCCTGTATGAGTTAGCTTATGCGATTTTAGATTATATGATTGTGAAAATTTCTTTCCACATTGTTTACAAACATATGGTTTTTCTCCAGTATGAGTTCGCTCATGTACTCGTAAATTAGATAATCCTGAAAAACGCTTCTCACATTGTTTACAAATATACGGTTTTTCTCCCGTATGAGTTCGCTCATGTACTCGTAAATCAGATGATTGTGAAAAACTCTTCCCACATCGTTTACAAATATAAGGCTTTTGTCGGGTATCAGTTCGATCATGCTTTTGTGATTGAAATAATCGCGAGGAATCCTTTTCGCATTGCTCACAAGTATAAGTTATTTCTTCGGTATCAGTTCTCATATGCTCTTTTAAATTCCATTTTAATTTGAAGTTCTTTCCACATTGCTGGCAGAAAAAATCGTTCATCTCCATTCTCCAATGTTAGTTTGTAAACTTGATCTGGTGTTGGTATTTATATAGCTTAAAATAGATTTGCACACAATTATGTGATTTACCAGATTTGGAAAACTATGTGAAAAACAAATATTCGTGAATGAAAACAACTGGATCACTGGTATTGTGATAAGACATCTTGATAGAAGGCCACACCATATACACCTAACCATTAGCCCTAACAATATTAGTATAAACTTTCATCTTTTGCAAAAAATTATGGCCCAAGAGATTAAATATTATATAAAGTTATTATCAAAAAAAAACAACCTTTTATTGGTTTATGAAAACTTCATTAGAAATAATTTATGTTGCTTACAAATTATCCTGTAAACTGCTTACAAATTCAAGTCAATAAAGCCCTCCTCAATGTCATCATATTATGGTGTTACTCATTTTCACCTCTGCCATGGACATGAACAAAAGTCAGTTCGTACATCAAGGATTTCACATATTCATCCGAGGGGAAAGACAATACAGCAATAAATTCAGTCTCTTGATCACCAAAGCCACTTGTCTTGTTACCGCGGTAGTGAAACCTTCCCAATTTATCCGGTTTCACATTGTGGTAACGATAGCCAGTTATTTATTTCATGGACGCATGGACTTGATGGTTCGAACCTGCAAAATCATACACAGACACAAGGTACCGTATCCAAGCACGATGCGACACAGCGCCAAGCCATGACAGAGACAATCTCAGATTATTATATGGAATACAAGTAAAAATCAGAGTTATCTTCTCTAGTGTTCTACATTGCAAAAAACCAGAACGCGTACCGGTACCGTAAAAGCAGCTAACTTCGGATGATTTCACTATATTTTAATCAATAACTCTGCCGTTTTTTGTCCAATTCGCGTCAAACTGAAATATATTACATTGATGTAATTCTCTGCATCTGCATATAATTTTCTCAACGATCGGATTATTTTTTCTGGCTTAATTGTCTCATTTTCTGTGATCTTTAACGAATTAAATAAATATCTAACTTCGGATGGGTGTATCCCCTCCCTGCGTCACCGCAACTAGAGCGAAAAGTGCGTGCGTGAAGACAAAACACGCTTTACGTCGTTGCGTAAATGCCAGATGTTCAATCCACGTCGCGAATGACGATGATAATGTCGATCGTAGGATTTACGGCGCTACACTTTCAAGTTGTTTTTATACTAAAATGTCTCGTTTTATTTTCTCTTATCGTAATTTTAGATCCGAATATTCACCGATCATAGCCGATAATGTTTTGATGGCGATTTTTACACTCCACACCATGTATTTTATTGAGCATGCACATGACCGGATTCTTTATTGAATTGACCTATGTGCATAAATCACGACAAAACACCGATTTGGCAATTGGCAACTTCATTAAAATTACTTTTCTTAAATTCACGAAACGGAACTCACTTGCAACAATGATTGCTGTTATTTATCGCTGGTTATATATTTTTATATTTACACAATATTTGTCGACTGCTTACAATTTTTCTATTTTGAACCATGTTGCCATTTTGAAATCGTCAAATCGAATGAATATGCTTTTTGTTAATTGCCATTTTTAATAAATTTATTTGAATTTCCTTTCCAGCATTTGACGCCATGAATTTACGATCCACAGAAAATTGTTGATGCGTATATTTTAGTCGATATTTATCAATCAAACAAAATATCGTTGTTATTTTCAAAACTACGCCAACTCGTCGGCGCCCGAATGTCTGGCGTCAAATATGTAACGGCGACGCAACATGACGTCGTCTTCGAAGTGAGCGACGTCAGGTTCAACGTGTGCGTCAGATGCTATTATTGTGATAAAAAAAATTATTCGAATTTTAACTTTTTATCGGGTCTCCTTCGACATCTCGCGATCAGTCTAATTTTCTATATACATTGATAACGCCCTCTATCGAATGACGCTATTTTGACGAAGTTAGAATCAGTTGAAGTCACGATCCGTCAATTTTATGCTAAAACGTGATTTTTTTGGGTAAAAAATTAATTGAACTGCGCGATTGAATATGATAACAGAATTAGATATATAAGTCTTCACTATAGAAACTGCCATAAGCACAATATGACGAAATTTGGTCGAGATATAAATGATTAAAAATTTCATCCGAAGTTACCGTACCTGCTTTTACGGTACCGACGCAGCGGTGTGGCTCAACGGGCTGAGCGTTAGGAATACGATCGCCACCGCACCTCTAATTACTCTGTGTGGGTTCGAATCCCAAGCAGGTATGGTTATGTGCGAGAGGATTGCTGGACTCCTCGCCGTCGTTGGGTGGTTGGTTATGGCTTCCTCCACCACCAAGTCCATGCTTCCGAAAACAAACAATATAACTAATCCCATACCCGACTTGGAACGGTAACCGGACGAGAGGCCGTGGTTCGCCATATGGATAAGCCGTCTTATCGGCTTTCCTCTCCCCCGAGATAAATATGTAAATCCTATCCTATCGGTACCTGTGATCTTATCGAAGCAAAAAGCAGCGGAATACCTTGGTCACTGCAGCAAATGCCCAGAATTATTTTTAAATGAATCCTACGCGGAAAAATTACATCTGGATAAAATATCTAACAGTATTTAATTAACTTCGACACGAAAGATAACGATCAGTTAATGAATATTTTACAGTATTATCAATCCAGCGCCGTCTGTAACAGTCAAATAGAGCCGCCTTTTCAGCTTCTGTCGCGTAAAATATGCAATTCATGACAACTACGAGATTCTTAATTGTCCTCGTATATTAATTTAATTGTGTCCAACGCAACTCGCGGTCTCGACTTTCTACGTCAAAATGAAAAAAAACATTACTGTATTAAAATACCACGGCGATCTGTGGACATAAAACAATGAGATGAGCTTCTTGATATATTTAATTTTGATACGTACTTTTGCAATCTTGTGACCTCGTTATCGCCGTTAGTAAAATCTCGATATCTGATATAAAATCACGTTTAGTACAATTTTACTTCATACAATGAAAACATATATAAAGTATACCAGTAAATCAAAAATACAAATTCACCGCCTCGAAATCCACGCCGAACAGTCGCCGCGATTACGTCACTTGTTAAAAGAGCCGACTTTTCCAACAAAAAATAATTTTTCTCTTGCGCAAGGTACCAATCCATGACCGATAAGGGCATATTCAAAATGTCCTGCTTTAGTAATTTAATTGTCTTCAATTTAACCTGCGGTTGCGCCGACAAAACAAGAGCCGCTCTAAAACACCACGGAATTCCGCGGACATAAAAATGTGTGGTAAACTGCCCTATTATATATTGTTTTGATCCGTATTTCTTCTATTTTGCGAATTTGACAAATTTGAGATGTGCTTGTAACATTGACTCCGTTCAATTGCAATGCTGCCACTCCGATTATATTTAAAAAAAAAAACTTTCGAAAAATCTAAATCGTGTTTCGATTTTAATGGCGGTATGTTCCTAAACGGCGAGGAGACATAACGGCACACGAAATTTTGCAATTTTCAATGACTAGAGAAGCGTTTTTAGACTGTCGCGGGACTCAAACAAAACTTATATTGTTTACGGTTTTATTTTCAGTAAATTATATTGCCGCTTTTCAACCAAATTTGAATCGCGGATTTACTCCTTCATTTGTCTTTAGAACCTCGCCGCCGATGAACGTATAATAACTCTCACCGAATTCACAATTCCGTGCAAAGTACAAAAATAAAATAATCATCATGTTTATCGTGGCACAAATTTGTGATTTAGAGAGAATAAATACCGACGTAAAAGCGTTTACGGCCTAAATAACACGCTGATGAAAACAATCGGCGACTTTAGCAGAAGGCAATTGCACGCTTTTTCAGTTTTTACAATTCCGTGCTAGTACAAAAAGTTCCCGTGGCACAAATTTGTGATTTAGAGAGAATAAACACCAATGAGAAGGCGTTTACGGCCTAAATAACACGCCGCGTTGATGAAAACAAACGGGGATTTTAGCAGAAGGCAATTGCACGCGTTATCGGCGACTTTTTCATACAATAACAGTTAAAAAATTGAAATTTTATTGATAATACTGTTATATATATATATATATATATCCATTAACTTATCGTTTGTTTTGATTCCAAAACCAGAAGAAACACGTCATTTAAATACTTTTTTTGTTTAATCCAAATTTAATTTTTCCGCGTAGGATCAATATTCCTTTACAGTTGCTTTTGCGATCAGGCATGAATCGACTTCTCTGCCAGTTGAGTGACGGTGTTAGCCACTTCATTGTTTGTGTTTTCACTGCTGCTTTGTGTGTGCCACAGTGAGCACTATATCCGTATATTGAAGCTTGATTGGCACCGATAATTTTTCGTTTATATTCATAATTTTTCCGCGTAGGAACAATATTCCATTTACAGTTGCTTTTACGATCAGGCATGAATCGATCAGTAGATAAATTAAGTTGCTCTGGGGTTTTGCATTAAGTATATTCGAATATAAATGCAGTTCTTTAAATAGCCAGGCATTTATTTATTTATATAATATGGAAAGCCAGAAAAGATAAGTAGCCTGGGGTGTCCCAGCTAGTCTGTGACGGTGTCAGCCACTTCATTGTTTGTGCTTACACTGCTGCTTTGTGTGTGGCACAGTGAGCACTCTATCTGTATATTGAAGCTTGATTGGCACCGATAATTTTTCGTTTATATTCATGTATTATCACAAGTTTAACGTCTTATTACAAAGTGTGCTACCATTTAAAGATATAGAAATGTATTTTATTCTAGAATGTTAAAATTGCTAATAAGAAAACATTAAATTAAGGAAATATTAAGTATGTATGGCACAGCCTCCAATTAAAGATGACCAGTGATCCAGTTGCTTTCATTCACGAATATTTGTTTTCCAAATCTGTGATTTCTAAAATTTTTCAGTCAATATTAAACTAATCACATATACCGTAAAACTTGCTAACTTCGGATGATTTCATAATACTCCAATCAATTACTCAGCCATTTTTTGTCCGATTCGCGTGAACTTGAAATATATTACATTGATGTAATTCTCTGTACATGCAATTAATTTTTGCGTCAATCGGATCATTTTTTATGTCTTAATTGTCTCATTTTTCACTACGCCAATAAATATCTAACTTCGGATGGGGAATCACCTCCTTGCATCACCGCAACTCGAGCGAAAAGTGAGTGCGTGAAGACAAAACGCGCTTTACGTCGTTGCGTAAATGCCAGATATTCAATCCACATCGGGAGCGGTGATGATAATGACGTGCGTAGAGTTTCCGGTGCGGCACTTCAAGTTGTTTTCAATCTTAAACGTCTCGTTTTATTTTCTATTATCGTAATTAAATCCGAATATTCACCGATTAAAGTTGATTTTGTTATAGCCGATGTTTTGATACCGTCTGTCAAACTCCACGGGAATCACACGATGAACGTTATTCAGCATTCATATGACAGTTGACCTATTTAAATGTTGGTCGCGTATAAATCACGACAAAACAGCGATTTGGCAATAGGCAACTTTGATTTAAATCACTTTTGTTAAATTCACAAAACCGAACTCATTTAAATATTTTATAATTACTCAGGATTCCCATCATTCATATGACGGTTTCTTTATTAAAATGGCCTATGGCAATAGGCAACTTTGATTTAAATCACTTATGTTAGATTCACAAAACCGAACTCATTTACGACAATTCAACCCTGGTTATATATTTTATAATTACACAGTATTCCTCGACCGCTCACTATTTTTCTATTTCGAACCATGTTGCCGTTCCAAATGGAGGGATTTGAAATCGTCAAATCGAGCGAAAATGCTTTTAGTTAATTGTCATTTTTAAGAAATTGAATTAAATTACATTTCCAACATTTAATGCCATGAATTTATGATCCACAGAAAACTGTTGATGTATATGTTAGCCAATATTGATCCAATCAAACAGAATATCGTTGCTATTTTCTAATCCACGGCAACTCGTCGGCGCCCGAATGTCTGGCGTCAAATCTATAACGGCGACGCAACATGACGTCGTCTTCGAAGTGAGCGACGTCTGTGTGACGTCAAGTTCAACGTGTGCGTCAGATGCACAGTCGCGACGCTTGAAAACGGAGTGCGCGGTTGAATATGATAACAGATTTAAATATATAGGGACTTCACTATAGAAACTGCCAAAAGCACAATATGACGTAATTTAGTCGAGATATAAACGATTGGAAATTTCATCCGAAGTTACAAGGCATCCGAAGTCAGCTGGATTTACAGTAATTGAATATTGGGGTCTGGTATAGTTTAGTACCACATGTACTTCTAGTGGGCGTAGCATCAAAATTTTTCGACATGACAATCCTAACCCCCACCCGACTACGTCATCCAAAAATTATGTCACTACGACATCACAATCACGTCATAGAGCTTGTCAAATATACGTACGACCGCCCAGAATGGCATCGGCGCCGACGATAAAGAACTGACTCACGTCAGCGATCTCTCTCATACTGAGATCGTAGGGACGAGAAAACGAGAGAAATAGCTGTTCGATTCCGGATGCGCAGACTAGCGCGTCTTGGATGACAGTCCGCATATTTCGAAGGCCTATATTACGTCACTGTGACGTTGAATGGAGTAGTCAGGTGGGGATTAGGATTGATATGTGAAAAAATTATTACGCTACGCCCACTAGAAGTATGTTTAATCGGCTTAATCATATGGCGAACCACGGCATCTCGTCCGGTTACCAGTCCAGGTCGGGTATGGGATTAGTTATATTGTTTGTTTTCGGAAGCATGGACTTGATGGTGGAGGAAGCCATAACCGACCAGTGGTTACGTGAACCACTCTACGGCGGCGAGGAGTTCAGCAATCCTCTCGCACATGATCATCCTCGCATGGGATTCGAACCTGCGATCCCCTGAAGGGTGATCAGAGATGCGGTGACGAGCGTATTCCTAACGCTTAGCACAATGCGCCACCCCGCTGAATTTTCCAAAGACTGAAATTTTCAGGTTTTATTGAATCCTAGATCTTAAACTTTAGATATATTTGTTTTTATTACAGCTTTCCTAAACTTTAATTAACTGTTCTTTATTAAAAATATTCCAAGAATTTAAAATGGGTGCCTGGCTAAGTCACGCATGGTCCAATCTGGTAAGATTTATTACTGGATTACGATCGGTTCCGACTGGATATAGAGCTGGCTCTTCTGGAGGTGATTCCGAAGTTTACTACGATTGGACTGACGAAAACATGGATGTTGAGGACGAACGAAGCCAGGACGTTGAAGAGCCTTCTGATGGAACTGAACTACGAAGACGAATGACATCTACGACCCCTGATCCTAAAGTTGAAAGGTCATCATCAAAATCTGAATCGACTTCTCCATTGAAATCTGATTGGAATGAAAGTGCAGAACATCCAAAACCAAAACTTGATGTTGCGCCTCCAAATAAGAAATCAAAAACTGAAAACGAAGAGAAGGCGACAAAAGTGGAATTCAAAACTGTTCCGAACCTGCATTTTGGTGATCAGGATGAAATGCCTAAATCTCTTTCTCCAGATTCTGTTATATCAGAAAAAGTGCTTGACAGTCTTGGCCCTGAAAATGCTGATACTAGCACCACTCAGAATTTCGAAAGTAGTTCTGAAAGTAGCGTTTCGTCAGAAACCAGTGAGGATGAAAAAAAAGATTACGAAATCACTCAAAGTTTCGAAGGTCGTTCTGAAGGTCAAAAAGCTATAGTTTTATCTGAAAACGAGACAAAAACTAAAAGTGAAGATGAATTACATGCAATTAATGTTGAAATGGAATCGAATCTTGGAAATAAGGGATTGTCTCCCGAATCAGGGACGAGACCCCCAAATCCAGGATTTGATGAAGATTCAAGCAAGAAGGTTAAAAAAATGTCTACTGAATTAGAAGAATCTTCTTCAAAATCTCCAATTTCGGATAGTCATAGTCGGAAACCTCCCAGAACAAAACCGTCATCTCCTTTAAAATCTCATTTGGTTGAAGATTTGGATGAACGAGACCCGAAACTCAACGTTGCTCCTCCAACTAAAAAAACTAAAACTGACGTAGACAGAAAAGTTCCAACTTCATTGGAGGTGACAGAAAAAATGCATTTTGAATCTGTTCCTGATTTACATTTTGGTAATGCAGATGGGAATTTTTGCCCCGAAACATTATCCCCTGATTCTGTTATGCCAAGAGGAATTCCAGAATCGAGAGAAATGGATGCCAACTCTGGTTATAAGGCTTCATTAGAAGTTGTGGAAAATGCAGACAGCACTGAGATGACCAATATTACTGATGATTCGAAAATTGATGACCAAGTAAAACAGAAAAGTTATGAAAGCGATATGACCGATAGTGTGCCACCTGATCTTGTAAAAACAATTCAAAAAGATGGAAATGGTACTTCTGAAGAAGCTGGGTCAGATTCACTTAATCACGAAGTTCCTACTGCGAATAACGTCATTGAGATGATGCAAGATACCCATGGAGCAAATAATGATGACCGAAATGCTCAGGAAAGTTTTGAAGATAATGCTGACGCCACTACATTTACAGAAGCTGATGGAAGTGAAAAAGCACTGTTAGATAATGAATTGGAATCGCAAGTAGCTATGTTAGTCGACCCTGATCAATCAAAAGGGTCCAATTGGAAGGAAAATCCCCGCATTCAGGGACAGGCTGACCAAATCAACCTAACAAGCAACGCAGGGGCCCCTGACTGTGTTGTGAAAGTCCCGATTGAGGAAAAAAACAGCACAGAAAGCACCCAATTTCCTCAAACAGGAGACAAAATAGCAGGAGGTATAGTTCATGATCTCAGTAACACAGTTTTGAGCCAAAATACTAAAATCGAAATGGTAAGTGGGGTTGAAATATGTGATGCCAAATCAGCTACAAAAATCGGCGTAAGTGTCCCATTAGGGGTGAAAGAATATCTCATTGAGGCCAGTGATGCTGACACAGATAAAACTAACGAAAGTGACGAACAGAAACCTGCGGAGGATATGGAAAATAAAGTGGTTGCATACGAAATATCGAACGAAGAGACAAATGAAGGCAATCAAGGTTTGGAAAACATCATTGGGGAGTCAGAAATGTTAAAAGAAATGCAAAAAAGTGAAATTGAGACCTCAGAGATTTATGCTGCTGAGGCGCTGATAGAAATTGGCAAAAAAGTTGACGGGGCAATATTTGAACATTCTGCAGGCAATGTATCTATTAATGATGAGATTGTTGCTGTCGACGATGAAATAAAGAACAAACAAGGGAGTGATTTAGTAGGGGAATCCCCCACTGGGCATGATGAAATGGATTTGAACATAAACAAAGAAGAACCAGTATCTGTTGAATATTTCGGCCCCAAAGGGGTTTCGAAATTGGTTGATTATTCAGATGAGGAAATGGTATCTTCTGAAAAAGGAGATATTTTGGAAATTAAAAACCATGATAACATGACTAATGTTGGTTGTGAAATCTCTCCAGGCGTAGATGATGAGCACAATAAATTGGACAACCATGAGCAAGCGGAACAAATCATTACCACCAATGGCAGTGGAGAGCAGGAAAACCTCTTTCAAAGAGAGCAAAAATTGCCGTTAAGAGATAATAACCAAGAGCAGCTTGCATCTAATAACTTTGAATATGTCGACCATAAAGGATCGCCACTCGAAGTCTCCAAAGAGCAAATTGAGCAAAACTTGGCGTTGGGCGATAGTAACCAACAACAGATCGAATCCAACAACTTCGATAATGTCGACCCCGAACAACCACAACTCGATGGCTCTCAAGAGCAAGATAAGTTCATTTCAGAAAACGGCGAAAATATTGACCCGAATATTCAACCAAAAATTAACACAAAAACGAAGCAAGTCTGTGTGCAATGGACCGGAAAAGCTAACGAAGTACTTATCACCGGATCATGGTTAGATTGGAAAGATAAAGTCGCTCTACGAAAAACGGATGAATATCTCTGGTCTGTGAATTTGGATTTAGACAAAAATTTGAAGGACATAGAAATGAAATTTGTGGTTGACGGAGAATGGTTAGTATCACCAGACATACCCACTGTGAAAGATATGAGCGGCAATAGAAATAACTACATAAAACTTATGCATTATTAAGGTAGGAGGATTTGGTTCAATATAAGGAGGCACAGAGTGACAATCGAAAAACAAACTACATTGTTATATCATAAAAACTTTTCTTTGGCGTAATTTAATGTTAACGAAGTGAGTTTTTCCTTGCGATGAGTCAGCATTTGTATTACGGAAACTAAATGCATCCTGAGTTTAAACATTGTCAGGTTGCCACTCTGCGTTATTGAATAGTAATGTCTATATCGGAATAACTGTTATTCAATGGTTTATGTTTTTGTTATTATTAGGTCATACACTGTCTTATGGTTTGTTTATTATATCATAAACCACCATTGTTCACCAATTGTTGAGTGATAAGAGATGCTTTTGTTCCATTATTACGATATGTCCCACTGTGAAGATAGATGGACAATGCATTGATAAACCCAGATCAAATGGTATACTCTTCAGTAGATGTTTAGTTATTAGCGTTTTGTTCCGTGGTTGCGCTCGGCATCGGTATTAGAAATATGAAAATGCACTCTTTCATCTTAAAATAGCGCTGACTTCCTAAATATATTGCCTAAAAGTGTTAAAATATTTTGAAGTGTTTTCATGTCATCTTTCCAAATAAAGCTGTAACCTGGCAGTAAATAAAGCTGTAACCTGGCCCTCAAAAAAAATAAGAAACTATAAATTTGACTTTCCTAAGTTTTAAAAAACTGTCCTTGGCATTAACTAGCAACCCCAGCTGTAAGTATAGACCAAGAGAGGAAACTATCTTATTCAGAAATTATAGTATACATGAAATCTCTTTTGAAAAATTTGAACAGGGAGTTTGATTGTCAAAAATTATGGAAAATATTTTTACCGGATATCATCCAAATTTGAATTTATATGAAGTCAAAACTCCCAAACATGCATGACGTATTTGTTTTTATTACCAGTGAACAAATTATTTCAAATATTTGTCTCATACCCTGGGGCTGGGAAACAAACAACACTGAAATGACTGCGTCCGAAATGCTCAATGTATTAGCGTCAGAGATTGGCTCAAAAAGCAGGGACTTTCAAAATGAATCGGACAAATTAAAAATAGTTATTTTTATATTTAGGCATAATTCGAAAGTGCAGTTGAAATAGTAGTCTCACAATAAGATAGGATTTACATATTCATTTCGGGGGAGAGGAAAGCCGTAAGGATGGCTTAAGCATATGGAGAACCACGGCCTCTCGTCCGTTTACCAGTCCATGTCGGGTATGAGATTAGATAGCCAGTTATTGTTTTCGGAAGCATGCACAATAACAATACAAATGACTTCATGTAATTTTAAAAAAGTGTATGAAATAGAGGAAATTGTTGGCAGCAGAAATATTAGAAATTGTATGGATTTTGATATAGTTTTTTTGCCTTTTAGGCTAATACACATTCCAACAGCCATTGCGTCATTATTTGCGAACCATTATTTCAGAAAATGCGTTCACCTCTGTGTATCAATATTTAATGTTGTTTACTTATACAAATATTCAGAAAATTTCTCATAAAAGTTTGTACCGATGCGAAATATATTTAGGCTTAGGATAGCTACAATCGGAGATAAACAAATAGAACATCTGAATAAATAAAGAAATTCAAGTCTATGCGTCTGGAACAAATAACTGGCTAACTAATCCTTTACACGACATGGACTGGTAACCGTAAGAGAGGCCGTGGTTCGCCATATGATTAAGCCATCTTATCAACTTTCCGCTCCCCGGGAATAAATATGTACCGTATATACTCGACTATAGGTCGCAACTTTTTACCAATGCCCGAACGCTCAGCGTTGCACAAGTCAACATTATTCAAACGATACAAACTGTCATCCAAGACGCGCACGCACGCGCGCACACAAAATTGAACGATTATTTCTCTCGTTTTCTCGTCGCGACGATCCCAATATGAGAGAGATCGCTGTCGTTAGTAAGTTCTTTATTGTCGGCGCCGATGTCATTTTGGGTGATTTTATGTATATTTGGCAAGCTCTATGACGTGATTGTGATGTCGTAAAAAACAAAATAGGAAGGTATCTATGCAAAAATGCTAGAGAAAGGGCCTTTTAATCCCTAAATTTTCAGTGCGACTTATGTGCGAGTCAACTCTAAATTAAACTTTTTTAACACAAAACTAATAGTGCGACATATACGGTGGCGCGACGTATAGGCGAGTATATCCGGTACCGTAAATCTTGCGAGTCAACTCTAAATTGAACTTTTTTAACACAAAACTAATAGTGCGACCTATACGGTGGCGCGACGTATAGGCGAGTATATCCGGTACCGTAAATCTTGCTCTATTGTATGCAGTAGGTTCAATTTTAGTCCTTTTAGCCTTGTAAAGAATTTAAGATGTTAATGTAACATAATTCGAACTGTTTACTTCTGCTAGACTAGCTTCCTAACTGTCTTGTCAAATCCACTATTATGATCTAACAATATCCCCCCCCCCCCCTCATGATGGAAAATGTTCATTATTTATATATGCTGTGAATATGTAGCCATTTAACTGTGAATCATTAATATATTCTTCATTTCTATCTGTAAACTATATTAATATGACAAATGCTAAAAAAAAGTACTGTGCTAAATTTTGTAATTTTTGTTTCATTTTCTGATAAAAAGTTCAATATTTATATACTGGATGTCCATAAAGTCCCTTTACAATTTCAATTTTATTATGAAGGCAGTTTTCAATATATCCTAACCAGTTTTTTTTGTTTTTTTAATTACCGTAGTAATTGTTAAGGTATTTTCACTTCATTCAATACATCTGTGAAGGACAAAACAATATATGGTATCGATAAATGCTCTTTGCAATTTTAGAAAATTTCAAGACCCTATGGACACCCTATATATATGCTGTGAATATGTAGTTTGCTATTCAACTGTGATTCATTAATATATTTTTCATTAATATCTGTAAACTGTATATTTATATAGCGAATGCTAAAAAAATACTGAGCTGAATTTTGCAATTCTGGTGCCATTATGGCTTTATCCAGTTATTGTGACATAAATTAAGATGAGTCAATACTTTGTGGGATAAAATTGAAGTTTTTGCTATGCCATTTGACTTTAGAAAAGTACGCTGAGGAAAATTCTGTGCAAATTTTCGCAATTTTGATTCTACTGTTGCTTAATCGAGTCATTGGAATATCACTTAAAATAGTCAATTGTGGAAATAACTTGCAGTTTTTTTGCTATGCTAGCTGTGGGAAAGTATTCTGTAGTAAATTCTGTGCAAAATATTGCAATTATGATAAGGAATTCAATTCTGAGGTTATTTGATTTTGTTTGTTGATTTTTGGTTCCCAATGCAATTTTTTTCTATACCATGCATGGGTGGAATATCACTCATCTAATACTATTTATGATAGCGCAGCAGGCCACACCCTTGACACACGAAACCATAAACAATCATCTAAATTGCTACATTATATGTCAGGGTTCTGAGCATTTATTTTTTATTTCCCTCTTGACGTAAATGATTTCTGGTTGTTAACTTATTCTATGCTGCTTTAAATTTTTATAAATTTCTCCATTACAATGTAGCAGCTTCCCTGGCAATCTTTTCTTGAAATGCTCAAGTTTCTGGTGTAAAATAAAGTTTCATAATCCACTTCACTTGCAGACTTGTCAAATTAATTGTTATTTGTATTGTGTGAATATTCTGCCAAATTTATACTTTACTTACATTCTTGAAAGTTCACTGCCAGTATAATCTTCATCTGTTTTGTGCGTGAATATTCTGCCAAATTTCTGCTTTGTTGACAATCTTGAAAGTTCCCTGCCAGAATTATCTTCATTTATTTCGTGTGTAAATATTCTGCCAAGGCTATACTTTTTTCATATTCTTGAAAGTTTCTTGTCGTAATAATTTTCATTCATTTTGTGTGTAAATATTCTGCCAAATTCATGCTTTATTCAAATCCATGTAAGTTCACTGTCAGAATAATTTTCATTTATTCTCAGTGTAGATATTCTGCCAACTCTGTGCTTCGATCACATTCTTGAAGGTTCCTTGCCAGAATAATTTTCATTTATTTTGTGTATAAATATTCTGCCAAATATATGATTTTCCCAATTTCTTAGTTTCACTGCCAGAATAATTTTCATTTGTTTTGAGTGTAGATATTCTGCCAACTCTGAGCATGGTTCACATTTTTGAAGGTTCTTTGCCAGAATAATCTCCATTTACTGTGTGTGTAAATATGCTGTCAAATTATGTCTTTGTTTATGTTCTTGCAGGTTCTAATTATATTGTTAACTTCATGTATGGCTTCAATTAAACTAGAACTAGCAGATTGTCTGGCTGATAGCCCACAGACTCGGGCCCTTATTGGAGTATTTCAAGAAGATGCAGAGGCTCTAACAAATTATGCACGCGGACTTGAGTATGCGTTCCAGCGTATCGCGTATGCTCAGAACGAGTTAACAGCAGCGACGCAAGCGTTAGCGCAACATTTACGAGAATTCGATTCACAAAAATTCACTCTTACCACGGATAATGATTATATTAGTTCAACAATGCAACAGCTTGCGTCGAAAATCGATCAAGTCTCAACTTTTAACGCTGTGCTCCAAACACAGCTAGTGGAGAATGCGACGTACCACAGTGGTAGATTTGTCGAAAAATATTTAATGCAATATCAAAAGTTGAAAGCACAATTTGAGTCGCAAGATAAAATCCACCAGGAGGCGATGAAGAGGTAAGATTTTTGTTTTAGAATTTAAATAATTTAATATTCAGTACTCCCGATGTATGTGAACCAAGATATGTCGGACGTGGGAACGTAGTATATGTACCAGGTTAGGGTTAGTCATAATTTTATTCCAATTTTCCTCATTTTAGTTCTATTACGAGTTCAGTGATTATCCTAGTGAACCCAGTAGTATTTATATCTGGAATTATGGCCTAACCCTAACGTGGTACACTTACGTTCCGGTGTCCGCCATCTTGGTTCACATACTTCGGGAGTACCCAATATTTACTATTTATTCTAATATACAGTATTCTGAAAAGAGAGAATTATGATCAAACACAAGGGCATAGCCACTTGGAGCAGACTCATTTTGAAATGTAAAAAAAAAAGCGTTTTTATATATCAAACATGATAATTTTCTGTAGTCTCTTTAGACCCTCGTTTTTCGTTGTATAAATTTAACATGAGATATAAATTTTTTGCCATTTGGCAAGAATTGGTATGGTTTTTGTTTACATATCAAACGATCATACATTAGGCTACGTTCATTTCAACAAAGCAAATTGAATGTCCATCAACAAGTTTATTGCGTGGTTAAATTTAAAATTTTCAACGAAATTGTGGGGCCTTTACCATTATACTATATGGGCCTCACTTAGAAAACGTTGCGACCACAGTCCTTGGGGATCTCAGGACACGGCACCTCATCTTACACTTCTCTTCTATCCACTGATTGAGCAAACTATTGTAAGATACATACATAAATGATAAAGTGTTTTCCAACTAAGCAAAATTGTTACAGGGCAGCGAAGTTATCCAAGAAACGAATCAGTGAGTCATCGT